GAGGCCATGCATAGACATTTACTTATGTCTTTTTTTTCTACACCATACAGGTCACAGCATTCACCTTGACATCTGTGACAAACCAGTATGAAAGTTTTAGCTACAACTAACTGGAAAAGCAATTTGAAGTGGCTTATAATAGGGACATCTCCAATAGCAATGATAACACCTCTTACCAGATATTGGTTTCTACTACCATTCTCCAATGAACTGACTCAGAGAGAAATCCTTGGAAAAATGGCTGTATCCTGGGGCAGGAATCTGTAAGATGAGCCTAGAAGCACCATGCAGTGACAGAAAATCAGACTGTAAAAAACTCATATGGGTGGAGCTACGTCAAAGAGATACAGGAGCCAACTGAAAGAGCTCCCAATAACGGAAGCTAGAAAAATGTGAGTAACAAAGTAAAGTAGTATTAAGTTATAATCTAAAGTATAGAATAAGCATCCATTGGGTTAATATTATTACAGACTGATCAGGCCCATAATCTCCCAAATAAGTGGATGGCAAAGACTTAAATAAAAGAGTCAAGTGGTTTGATTTTAGGGCTCTGGGAGGTTCCAAACCTCTAACAGAATTCGAGATTCTCTGGGAGCTAAGACCCAGGACTTTTCTGGGTGGCCCGTATTTATTTAGTTATAAGAACAAGGGTGGAGAATACTGAAGAAAGGCAGGAATCTGTCTTGAATGGCAGGGCCTTGAGAGTCCCTACAAGGAGTCCCTACAAGGACTTCTCTAAAGTAATTGATTATGCTAATTTAGAAGAACTATGTTATGTCCAGGAAGGCCTTCACCACAGGAATGAGATGCCTGCAGTTAGTCTTTATCTAGTTAATTGAAGTTAGAGCCAGGTGTCCTTAGCTGTGGCCTTGTATTGTCCTTTGAGGCACCACGACTTCACCTGCCATTACAGGCCACCCATCTCCAATAGGGGACCTAGGCCTCAGGCAGACTTACAAGTAAACATGAAAAGCCAATTGGTTAATATTAATCCTGCTCAGAGCCACTTTATAGTGGTCTCCATCAAGCATCCATGATCTATACAGATATGAATAAATAAATCAGGGGGAATAAACACATTTCATGTGCAGAAGAATATTGAATAATTTCTGTAGCTATTCTTCCTTCAAGGAGCAGAAACTGTCCCCCTCTTAATGTGGGTTGTGCCTAGTGACTTCCTTTCAAAAAGGAAGTATACAAAGGACAGAAAATGTTTGCTCTTCAGCAGGGACACTTTCTTCAGGCAGTTCCTCAGCTAGATAATCCAGGTTACATCACCAGTGCTAAGTTGTGTTCATGGTATGGGTTCTTAGTGTGATGAGTATGGAATCTTACTGCTGTGGTTTTCCTCGGGAATAGAAAAAAAAGTAATCCAAAGCCTAACCCCAAGAAAAACATCGGACAAATCAAAAATGAGGAAAAGCCTGACCAATCTGCCTCAAACCTGCCTAAGGGATCAAAAACCAGAAAGGCCTGGGAAACTGGAAATTGTCACTGCCAAGAGGAACCTGAGAAGACATGACAACTAAATGTAATGCGGCATTCTGGATAGCATCCCAGAACAGGAAAAGGATAGCAGGTCAAAACCAAAGAACTCTGAAGAAAGTGTGAATTTTATTAAAGAATAATACATTAAAATCTTAAAATTACTGCAAATATACTATATTAGTATAAGATACTAATGATAAGAGAAATTGGATGTGGGGTGTACATGAGCTAACTATTTTCCAAAAAATTTAAAGATCTGAAATTATTCTAAAATTTAAAAATTTACCCAAGAAAAGGGAAATTTATTATCTCAGCAAGAAGTCTGGAGTAGGCTGACAGCAGAACTGGCTGAATCAAATTATATTATTAAATTATATTATTAAGCACTCAGATTCTTCCTATCTTACTCACATCCATCTTTAGCTTGTTAGTTTCTGCCCTCAAACAAATCCTCTCATGCTTACAAGATGGCTGCTACAGCACCAAGCATCATACTCTATCTACTTGAAATCATGTTCAAAGACATCAAGAATGGTCTCTGCTTTTGTCTCTTTATCGTGAAGGAAAATATTTTCTTCCAGAAGATGTCCTGTAAGGTTCCATTGACCAGTATTGGATCACAAGCCCTAACTAAAAGGGAAATGGGGAGACTGGGACTCTGGAATGCCCTTCCTTTACAATGAGAAGCCATTAAGAAATAAGTCAGAAGCGGGCAGGGAATGGTATGAGTTGGTGGCCATCATTGTGGGACCCTCACATAGGTTCTTCCCTGAGTCTTCTGTCAGAAAATTTTTCTGTCTGTTGTTACCTCCTACCTACTGGGTTACAACATAAGGGGTGGAAAATTATGGTCTTTTCTGAAAAAATACACACAGATTCTTCACTCTAGTTTTGTTCCCTTGAAGTCTATCACTTTTTTTCTTTTACTGTCTGTGCTTCTCCTCACAGCTTTAAAATGCTCTCCATTCCTGTCTGTCAGGGATACCTTGTGTGATACCAAAAGTTTCTACAGAAATTAATCTTAATGGCAGGAAGCCTTCAGGAAACAAAATGTAAATTTTTAAGCAGGGAAAATAGATTAGGATGTGTTTGAAAACCATGTGTTAGTCCTGCTGTACCTTCATTATTATATCTAATTCTTACAACAATTCAGTGAGTTAGGTTTTATTAATCAGGGTTCTTTGGTTGTAAGTGACAGAAACACAATTCAAATTAGATTGAACAAACAAAAATAACAGCTCATATAATGAGGAGGGTCAAGGTAGTGCTGGCCATGGGACCGATTGGATTCAGGATCTCAAATATTGTTGCCAGAATTCCCTTTGTTGTCTCTGTCTGGCTTCCTTCTTTCTTGTTACAAGCTTCCTACATGCTTAAAAGGGGATATTTCAGAAGCTTCCAGAAGTTATTTGTTTATAACTTTATTAGCTTACAATCCAGAGAGAAATAAGTCAATTCTATGTCACCAAAACTATATAGTGTACCAGGAAAGGTCTCTGGCGGGGCTGGATTGAATGGAAGCCATCACTGATACGAGCAGAACGGGCAGCCAGGGTTAGTATTAGGGGAAGGCGCTTGAAGCACCTCAGAGCAAAGTTTATTGAGGTGCCCCCTGTGGGACCCGAAGAATGAGTGGCTCCTGAAGAATAAGATCTCAGGGCTTCATGCTGTGCAGCAGTGACTGTCCTTGAAAGCCTGTGTGCTCAGCTCTTGGCTTGCTTCACACTAGTCTTGACCTCCTGGGGAGCTATGGTTGATCAATGACCCATGCACAGGAAATGGCCAGATGCTGGGATTGGGCTGGAGAATTACAGGAAATGAGTGGATGTAGTGAGCCTCGTTGGTCTCTCATTGTACCCCGGAGAGAAATGGCGGTGAGGATGAGAAAAATAAAGACAAGAGACAAGAGCTGGGGTCAGGTGGAGTTACCTCTTGCTTGATGAGCAAGAGGACTCCCTTCAACAGTTGGGGTGTTTTTTTTTTAATACACTTGCAAAGTGGGGTGGGGATTTAGCTCAGCAGCACTGCGCCTGCCTGGAAAGCACGAGGTTGTGAGTTTGATTCCCGGTACCGGAAAAAACCCAAAAAAACAAAACAAAACAAAACAAAAATACACTTGCAAAGTTAGTATCATGGGGGGTAATGTTGCCTAGCGACTAACGACTGTAATTGTCCGGCAGGATGCCTTTTTTAATACTGAGGTAACTTGACTGCTTGACAAATAACCAGCTCCAATGGCTCCCAACAAGTGGCGTAGAACAGTGGTTCCTCTGCAAGAGCAAGGGGGAGACATATGCTAGACAGACAAAAATAACAGAGGTCCACTAGAGAGACACCTTTCTGATCCTCATTTTGTAGACAAAAGTATAAGACTGAGAGGAGACATGATGACATAAATTGTCTGAAGTCATACAGCTGGAAAGTGATTGAGCTGGGAGCGGGGACCTGCATTTTAACACGATTGACTCTAAAGCTCATCCGCTTTTAATTGCACTGTGTTGGGGTCAGGAGGGCTTCCTGGAGGAGGTGAATCATGAGCTCAATTAGCTATTGACCAAAGGAGCTTGGGTGAAGGAACGGCACAACTGCAGGCATATTAGCTTTATTGAGAGTGGATGTGCCTGTTTTTCTATAGGTTGTGCTGTGTGTGATAGGGCCCCACCCTCTTTCCAGCTGGCACTGGGTAGGAGGATGCATGGGTAAGGGATGAGGGAAGAGAGAACCCTTGTGCTGTAGTCACCTGTCCACACCCGTTCTGGAAGATGGAGCACGGAATTCTCTTGGCAGATGGAAATCCATCTTTGCTCCTGCACCTGGCCAAGGATAAAAGTACTTAAGGACGCAAAGTATATCAATTCAAAATACTACATTTCTAATAGCAAAACTGATACACAAGTTAAAGGAAAACCTTCAAGATTTAAGATTAAGTCTTTTTTTGTTGTTGTTTTGTTTTTTTTCCGGTACCGGGAATCAAACTCATGACCTCATGCTTGCCAGGCAGGTGCTGTGCCCCTGAGCTAAAACCCCAGCCCCCTAAGATTAAGTCTTAAACTAGGTCAGCCATCCAACTCAGCTTCCCTTACCTGGGGTACACTCTCCTCATCATTTCTGCCCCTGTCTCTGCCTCTGTCTTCAGCCCCAGCAATTGTCACCTGAGGTGAGCCTAGAAATGATGTCAGGAGCCTAGAATTACGAGAATCCCCAGATCCTCATGCCATTTTATAGAATGAGATGTTGCCTGATTTTAATATTCCTAATAAATGTCAGTCAAGAACTTCAACTGCATTTGTTGTAACTTCTTTTTTTTTTTTGACAGTGGGAAAATTCAGGTTCACACAATGGCTTGTGTGTGGCTGACCCAGGAGTCAGAGACATACCCAGAGGTCAAGGAACAGTGCGTGAGTATTTCACTGTTAATCTGAAATTCAAATTGACCTGGTCATCCTCTATTTTTATTTGTTAACTCTGGCAATTCTAGGTGGCAAGCCCCCGAAGGAATTCAAAGTGGAGAATTAACATTTCATCTAAGATTTAATCAATACGTTTGTTTATAAAATAAAAAGTTTAGATTCTATAAATAATTCAGAGGATTCAGAGGCATATAAATAATTTCCAGAAGACTGTAGGTAAATTCACGAAGCTGAGTCTCCACCCAACAGGTGTAGCAGCTGGTGCAGGTGGGAGACTGCACCGATCTCCAGGCGGCCGGCAGGAACCTGGAGCTGTCTGCACTTCTTACTTCGCCTTTGCATCGTCCTTTCAGGCCTTGCAAGCCCAGTATCTCCTTGCACGTTCCTGTGTAGAATGTGGTTCAGGGTGACTGTCACCTCGCAGTCATTACGTAGATGCAGAAACGGAGGTTCAGAGAGGTGGTGCGATACACCCAAGGTCATCAGAGGGCCATGGTTGCAACTCAGGTCTGTTGCAAAGGTTCTCTGTTCTCCGAGGGATCCAGTACTCGGTTGGCCTGTGTACCTGTGCTCGGTGCCTGCAGGCAGGCCCGGGTGTCAGGGGCTGGAAAGGGCCCCCGGGCCAGCTGCTGGCCTTGGTGCCTGTCGTGTCTTCGCTGGAGCCGGGCATGAAGGTGGCAGACCCTCCTGGCCTCCTGGGCGGAGAAGAAGGAGGCAGCGATCGCATGCCTCAGGCGCCGGGCGTAGGTTTCCAGGAGCACGGTGGAGCCGGCCAGGAGCTGCAGGGCTCCTGCGGCCAGCGCCGAGGCGGTGCGTGGATGCTGGGCGGGCAGCAGGGGGCAGTCTCGGGAGGTGAGGCGGAGCTCCCACGAGTAGGCTCTGTGCTCGGACAGGAAGGGGCTCTCAGCGGGTTGGTGGTTGAAGAGGAAGGGAATGAAGCCCAGGACGGTGTATGCTGCCTTCCAAAAAGAGAAAAAGCCGGTGAATAGAGATCTTTTGCCTCTGCCTTTCCCTGCCGCCTGCAGAGACTTGCAGGGGTGGATGGCCCCAGGGTCTCTGCCCTCCTGCGCAAAGTGGGTACACAAATAACCAGCGTTTACCGGGGTGGGGAGAACCAACTGTGACCCAGACTGAAAGGAACTCTTTTGCCAAGTAAAAAGTACCATACACGTTATTGTTACTGTCTTTGAGCGGTATATTTTAAACATTGGCATTTATGTTTGTTTTCAGCTGAGGACTGAGCCTAGAGCCTTCATGCTGAGCTAGCTCTGCAGTTCTTTCTATATTTTCAGATTTTCAGATAGGCTCTTCCCCTAGATTGCTAAGTTGCCCAGGTTGGGCTCAAACTTTCAGTCCTCCTGCCTCAACCTCCCAGAGTGCTGGGATTACAGGCGCGTGCCACTGTGCCCGGCTGGCATTTATTCTTAGTGAGCCCTTATGAATGCTTAGGAGGTACTAGTCATCAAATCTGCACAGTTCTGTGAAGTTGACCCTCATTTAAAAGATGGGGAACCCAAGGCCATAGACGGGTTCAACATGGCCTACTCAGGGGTCAGTCCCAGCCAAGGTGGGTCCCGAATCCTGCTCAGAAGCATTAGACTCCACAGACTCCAGGGAACGTCACAGCCAGGAAGAGGGGTGTCCAGAGAGGCAGGGAGGTCCGAAGTGAGCCAACAGATATAGTAAAATAATCTATGTTAAATAGTAACAAGCAAACTACTTTATACGCATACAATTAAAATGCTAAGTGTTAAGGAAGCATAATGTCAAGGTTTAGTTGGCAGCGTTTTTTACTTAATGATACATAAAATAATAGTGTAATTTTGGATCAGTGGGACCTTAGTTTTAATGGTTTGGGGTTTGGGGTTTTTTTTTTGTAGTACTGGAGATTGAACCCAGGGCCTTTGCGCTAAACTACATCCCCAGCTCTTTTTGTACTCTGAAACAGGGTCTCGCTATGTTGCTAAATGGCCTGGGCTGGGCTTGAACTCTTGATCTTTTTGCCTCAGCCTCCCAGAATGCTGGGGTTATAGGCATGCACAGCCATGTCTGCCTCAAGGCACCTTTGATTTTTCTCTAAGATTTTAAATGAGGAAACAGTTACACACTTATAACACTGCCAGGCAAATACCTCTCCTGTGGCCCATGGTAAGAAACACATTTTACAGAATTTTCTGAGCACAGATTGTATGGTACTTGAAGAAGAACTTCACAAAACAATATAAACCTATGTCACCCAAAATATACTCTGATAATTCTTAGCTTATTTCATTAAAAAAAAGAAGCTGGCTGTGACCATCTAAACTAATTAAATTGATTTCTCACAATTTGAAAAATAATTTTCTAGTATATAATAGGCACGTGATAAATATAAGCTAGTAATATTACTAGCTCAAGCTCTGATGTTTTAGTATGTTTTATGCAACAGAGTTTTGCGTGAGATCTCTCTGTTACAAATAAAATGATTGTGGCAAAGGAAGAGACTGAGAAACACAAACCTTGGTCTGATAATAAATATATCCAACAGTAAGTAGCTAGTAAATGTTTTATACATTACCATTCAAGTTGTAAATATTTTAGGCTTTGTGAGCTGCACAGTTCCGGCTGCAACTTCAGCTGTGCCTTTGTAAGCAGCCACCTCCAGTACACAAATAGATGTAAGGCTGTGTTCCCATAAAGCTTTATTGACAAAACCTAAAACCCGGTGTTGCATTTGCCCTGAAGGTCGTAGTTGGCTGACTCCTGTTGTAGACCATACCCGAGCCTTTTATCTGGTCAGAGATCCAAATGTAAGCTATCAGCAGGAGCTACTAAGTCTTGAACATCTTTTATGCGGCTTGGAACTTACTATGTACTTTTAGATACATTTTCACATTTTAAGACTCACATAGCTTAGGGTAAGGAGGGTTGATCTATTTTGTACAAATGAGGAAAATGAGCCCTTGCTACTTATGAAGTGTGACCTTGGGACCAGTCACTTTAAGGTGTCTACGTCTCAGCATCCTAACGTGCAATACAGGTGAAAACAGAATCCCCCTCCTAGGGCTGCTGGGGAGGTCAGATGAATTCCAATGCCTCAGGGCCCCTGGGTTCCTGGCCGCAACTTGGATGCAAGTAAGACGTACATGCAAGTCGAGGGTTTAACAAGCCCTGTTCCTTCCTCCCAGGAAATCACTCTCCTTCCGTCTTCCCGCCATTTTACTTACATCATACTTGACCGTGAGTGTGATGGGCACAACGGGCAGCTTCTGAGCCCACTTCACAGCTGCCTGTGCCAGGAGGAAGGCCATGTGGTCAGTGGCCACTGTCACAGCTGTGGCCACCAGGAGCAGGACAAGCAGTCCCAACCTTAGGAGACAGCTCAGCAGCTCCTGCTGTGACAGCTTTGGCTGGGCAACCTGGAGCAGCCAGGCCGGTGGAGAGTCCGTCAGGTGTGTGGCCTGAGCCTGAGCCAGCTGCTGAGCCAGCCTCCGTGTCACGTAGATATTGTCAAACCGCAGGTCCGTCAGGTAGCGATGGAGGTACCAGGCCGACTCTACCAGGAGGCCAAGCATAAACAGCCCTGTGACTACCCGCTGGGTACCCCGTGCTACTGTCAGAGCCAGGGACTCTAGGTCAGAGAAATCCTCCAGGACTTGCTGAGCGACCTTGAGCATGTGAAGGCGGAAGGCAGAGCCATTGCCCTGGACGTGGAGCGTCAGGCCCCGGCTGCCTGCTCGGCCTGCGGAGCCCAGTGCCCTGGATGCGGTATGCAGATAGTGGGTGGTGTTGAGCAGACTCTCCAGGGAGCCCTCGGTGACGCATCTCAGCACCTGCCCGGTGGCACGCACGTTGGCCAAGACATTTGGCACCACAGCAATGGCTAGGGTGGCAGTACTGTAGGACAGGAGCAGCTGGCGGCCCTGCTTTGTGCCCAAGGTGGGCACACTGAGTGCAAACAGGCAGCGGACTGGGGGCACCAGGCCCAGGACCAGGAAGACCAGGAGGCCACAGACCGTAGCCACCATGGCTGAGAGATCCAGTGGATAAAGCTGTGAAGATGTCAGCCAGTGATGAACCAGACCTGCAGCAGTGACAGCCAAGGACCCGCACAGGAGGACGTGGGTCAGCAACTGGCCACAGCTGGCCGGGACAGGCTGGGAGAAGGCATCCCAGGCAGCACGCAGTGGGACAAATGCCTTTTGGATCCCCAACTGCCAGAATCTCCACCTGCACACAAATAGGAGATGCTCTTTCAGGAGGGTGAGGCAGGAAGGAGTCCGCCTGCCCATGCTGTCCAACCAACCTGGTAGCAGGCTCCGTCCTGTTAGCTACAGCAGCAGGAACACTTTGAGATGGACCAATCAGAGTCACCCATGTGACAAACTGAGCCAATTAGAGTCTTCTCCAGGATAATTCTCCCTGGAGTTATTAGGGAAGAGCCCTATGCACTTCCTGCGGGGGTCAATGCTGGGGCTGCCTGAGTTTATAATTACAGCCTTGGGAGGGAGGCTGGCCCAAGAGAATGGATGAAAGCCATGAAGCAAGAAGCTCCAGAGAGGGAAAGAGGGATAGAGGAAGGAAGGGAGGGAAAGAAGGAGAGAGAATATGACCAAGAGGGAGAGAGTCAGGAAGACAGAGTTCTTTATGGACTTCAGTAACTTAGGGGCAGGAAGGGAAGCCCAGTTGGCCTCTGAGGAGCTTTTTCTGCTCTGTTTTCCTTATAGTTATTCACTCAACAAATATTTATGAAGCAACTAATAAGTGCCAGCTCCTGGAGAAACAGAAAGGACTAAAACAGGTGACACGCCAGCCTTCACAGAGTTATGCTTCAGGGTGATAATGACAGAGACACAGTAAGAAGAGGTTCTGCCAGCATTCACCAAGTGAGCATGATTGCTTCTGTTTGCTCGGGCTAATAGGAAGCAAGGCCAGCCATGACAGGAGGATGCTGGAGGGGGAGATGGGGCCTTGAAGATGAAGGAGAAAGGATCAAGTCGTTGTCCATGTTTTTGGCAGGAGACAGATTAAATCATGAGCAATACGCTGGAGGAATTCACAGTCAAACTAGGAAGACTTCAGTGGGACGTCAGAGGACAAGTACCACTGGGCTCAGGGGGCCGAGGCAGGAGAATTGCTAGTTTGAGGCCAGCCTGGAAAATTAATGAGACTCTGTCTCAAAATGAAAAATAAAAAGAGCTGGAAATGGAGCTCAGTGGTAGAGCACCCTTGCACTCAATCCTGAGTATCTCTCTCTCTCTCTCTCTCTCTCTCTCTCTCTCTCTCTCTCTCTCTCACACACACACACACACACACACACACACACACTCCAACCCAAAACAACTCAACCTGGGCCTGGACTGAGGAGTGGGGAAGAGAGTCACTGATTTTTACCTGGAAGAGACAGAGTCAGGGAGGCTTCTGGGGGAGGTGACATTTGAACTGGGACTGCAAGGCAGCTGTCAGTTCTTAAGTGGGGGAGGGTGTCCCCAACTGAAGGAACAGCGTATGAAAAACTCCTGCACTCTGAGTGACACCATTAGGAAACAAGGCTGAGGTACTGGACCTTGGGGAACTGTGATCTGCGAGGCCTGGAGCGGAGGTCACAATCCTGGGGCCAAGGGCTGACTCTAATGTGAATATGTGGTTTTTATTTTGGTGCATGGTGCATGTGAGTGTGAGTGTGTGTGTGTGTGTGTGTGTGTGTGTGTGTGTGTGTGTTGCCTCCATATGGAAATAGGAAGTTTCATTAAAACCTGGATTTCCACTCCCTTTGAGAAACAAAGGGATCTGAGCTAGAGTTCTTGCCTTTGCAACAGGCAGCTAATGCTGAGCACACGCTGCTCCTCTGGCAGGGCTGCGTCCCCTACAGGCTCGGCTCCCTCTCCCCTCTGCAGGCCTGTGCAGGCCAGGGCAGGACAGCAAGGCCTGCCTGGCCCTTGAAATGGAACTGACCACCCCTTCCTGCTATATAATTAGCATTTGGAACAGGGTAGCTGTTGAAATGTTAGCTATTAATAGAAATGCTTTTAGGAACTGAAAGCCAATCCTAGGTCGTAGGTGGTGCTGAGTTCTGTGCTGGGTTCTCCGTCATTTTAAATGACAAGGGAACTATCTGCCATTTACTGAGTACTTACTCTGAGCCAAGCTCTGTGTATGCATTTGCTCATTCATTTCCCACAACAGTTTCAAAGAAATCATTATTATTATTATTATTCCCATTTCACAGATAGGGGAACCGAGGCTCAGAGAGGTGAGGCAGAGCTTGGAATTTGAGCTCATAACCATTTCTATGGAGTGTTGGCTTTTTCTTGCTTGTGGCCCTGTCCAAAGTCCCCAGACCTACCCGGTCCTGAGGAGGTGTTCAGCAGCTGCATGGAGGCCCCTCATGGTCCTGGAGCAGCAGTGGCTTCAGGCAGGTGGTGTGCAGCAGCGGGCCAGGTGGAGAGGAAGCAGGATGACTGCTGGGACTTGGGAGGACCTGCTGCTTCTGCTTTTCTAGCCTGTAATTAAGTCCTCCTGGCTGCCTTGTCCCGCCCTGCGGGGCCACCTCCCAGGGGTTGGGCAAGCTTCCTCCTCTTCTCATGGTAGGCAGGGACGGGGGAAGGTGTGGGAGAAGAGAAAGATGTTTTCCAAGCCACATCTGCAATCCTACTAGCAGGAAGGTAGAACTGGCCCATTTTACAGAGGAGGAAACTAAGGTTCATAGAAACTGGTAATACAGCTTGTTACCAGTAGCAGGAGACTAAGACGCTGCTCTGCTTCCCCTTTCCCTCCCCTCCCCTTCTGTAGTTATGGGCCCCAAGGGGAGCCTGATCCTTGACACTCAGGAGCTAAGGACCCGCAGGAGACAAGGGGATCCCTGCTAGGATCAGAGGCCGATGGCTATCACGGTGCTTAGCCGTGTCACTCTCCAGCGGAGGGACTGGTTCACAGACCCGTGATTATGGGCCCTCAACAGTAGGAGCTCATTAAATGCCAGTTCCCTGTCTGCCCCTTCTGCAGCCCTTTGCCCTGCAGGCCCACTTCCAGGCTGTCCTGGGAGCCCACTCCCACTTGAAACATGGGGTTTCTCCCCCAACTTCTCTGTCCCTGTCACTTCCAGCAGGGTCTGTACCCCAGGAGGCCTCCCCCGAGCCCGCAGCCCAGAGATAGACTGGTAGGGGACACAGCCAGGTGGCCTTCAGACTGCTGGTCATTTTTCCTTACAAGGACATGCTGCCTGGGCCACTCCTTCAGGCCTGAAGTGGAGCATCCTGTGGCTTGTTTAGGGGAAGTGACGTGTCATAGTAACCCAGCAAGTGAGTGAGACACCTGTGGTTAGACACTCAGAGAGCTCAACACCCTACCCAGGCTCTGAGCCCCCAGCCCCCGGAAGCCAGGGGCTGCCTCATTGGCAGGAACCAGGCACACAAGGTTGTCCAGGAGCAGCAGCCCCACGTGCCGGTGTCCTGCAGAGGAGCTAAAGGACACAGGCAACCGCAACATGTGACCTTCGGAAAGGGAACTGCTTCTCAGTCCAGCAGAGGATCAAAGCCCGTTGAAAAATAAGGCCCAGCACCACCAGATGTTCAAGTTTTTCCAAAGATGCCAACCATTCCCCTTAGCACAGAAAAATCTCTAAGTTTTTAAATTCAGTCTTTAAAAAATAAATAAACAGAGACACTACTCTGTTGACTCATCTTAACAGGTCTGGAGGTGAAAGCTAGCACAAGGGCCACCAATCTTCGACCTCTGCTGGAGGTCTCAGTCCAGTTTGCTGTCACTCAGCTGCTACGGAGCTCTTCCCCTGAATTGCAGGTGGCAGAGCTGATAGTAAATGCCAGCTTTGTCGGTCACTGTGCCGTGTGACCTTGGCCAAGACAGTGCCTCTGTCTGAACCTGTGCATCCTGCCGTAGCGAGAAGGACGAGGTACTTTTTTGGTGGGGTTGTCTGAGGAGTCGGAGGTAATGTGCATAGAGAAGCAGTAAGCACAGAGGGAAGTTCTTGCTCTGCTTCCTCCCTCCTGGTTTCCAGCTCTGATAGAGAGAGCCCCAGGCTGCTGGGACCTGCTCGTCCAGGCTCTGCGATGACCCTCCAAGCACCAGGTCCTGTTGCAAGGGAAATGCTGAAGCACCCGCCCAGTCCCAGAAAGCACCGCCAGCATTTGCCCAGTTTCTCGTGGGCACCAGGGAGCTGACTAATTAAGAACCACAAGGGCCACCTTCCAGGAGGCCTCGGGCGGGTTCGTAAGATTTGGAAGCACAGGGGGAAGAGGGAAAGAGCGGAAGATATTTTTAGCTTTTGTTGGCACATGTAGGCAGTCACCTCTGCCCACGTAAGGCTGGCCTGACCTCAAGGCCTACAACATCCGGAGGGGACTTCTGAGTCATCGCCCATAGAACCAGCTGTGTTGGGGGGAATTTCTGGAGGAAGGATTCAGAGCCATAAGACAGAAGGGGAAGTGGTGAGCCCCGGGCCGGCCCTGGGAGTGCAGTCTGGGATCGGGGATCAGAATCAGAGGGCCGTAGAACAGTAGTGCCACTGAGCTTTCGGCCTGTGGGTGGAGATGGGGCCGCTGTCCAGACGGCAGGAGACTGCAGTGATATGGCTAAAATCTGAGCGTGCAGACAGCGGTATCCGACAGGGAAAGACTAGGAGGCTGGGGTGGGGGTGGGGGACACACGCTGTTGTTTTCTAATAAACCGAACTAAGCACATAAAACTAAAATTACTTTTAAGAAAATATTTCATTCAACCTCTTATAGCCAAAAGATTAACCTTTCAACCTGGAAACATTATTATTAATAGACTATTTTACTTTATTTTCTCCCACCGTGGCTTTAACACCCGGCGTGTGTTTTGTACTCATGACACGTCTCAGCGTGTACGCTCGTGACGCACGCAAGTGTTCAGCAGCTGCACATCTCAGGTGGCTACAGCATGGGGCAAGGCAGGTGCAGACCATTTCCATCATCGCCGCAAGTTCTGCTGGGCAGCGCTCAAGGCCGTTAGACCCAGTGGCCAGCAGTGCCAGATGGACCTTCCTGATCATGTACTTTAGGAGTCTTAGGCTCAAACGCCCTCACAGGCCAGGCAGGTGGCAGCGGGGAAAGAAGCTCAGGGTAAGACAATAAGGTGGGGTGGGGACTGCAGCAAGGAAGAAAGTTCCTGCTCCGACTTAACACGCCGCCACTACTCAGCTCCAAGTAATTACTGCTGGATACCATGAGGGAGCCGTATCATTAGATCTGGCATTTTCTTTTCCAGAAGCAGAGATCTAGCTTTTTAGGTGAAAGCTTCTGAACTTTAAAGATTAGCAGCCAATTAATAATTTAAAACTCACTGATGGAGGGGGAGGTATAGCCCCACAAGGGCTAGATGCAGAAGTGGGCACCACCAGAGGGCAAGCTTCAGCCAGGGCTACACCCTGCGCCAAATCTGTGTGGTTTGTTTCTTCGACCCACTCCCCGCTTCCCCGTGCCCCGGGGCACAGGAGTGGACCGGGCTGGGCTGCCTCGAGGGCTCCCTGCACTCCAGCTTGTGGTAGGTGTCCGTGGCTGAACCGCAGTGCTGGCCGTAGGGGCCAGTGTGACCCCGGATGTTTCCATGAGGGTGTTTTTGCTGAGAGAAATCAATGTTGAAATAAATGGACTTTGAGTAAAGTGGATTGCCCTCCGGAGTGGACAGGCTCTCACCCAATCAGCAAATGACTGGCCTTCTAGAAGTTGGGGAAATCCTGCCGCGGGCAGCCTTCAGATGCCAGCCACAACTCTTTCTCAAGCCTCGGCCCGCTCACGTCCCCACCAGTGTGGGCTTACTCAGACTCCACACGGAGCCCCTCTCTCTCTTTCTCTCTCTCTGTTCTCCCTTATCTGCAGCTCCACTTCCCCCCATTTCAGTTACCCATGTGCTACGGTTTGAGTAAGTGTACCCCCAAGGGCTCATGGTTGAAGACTTGGTCACCAGTCTGTGGCACTATTGGGAGATGGTAGAGACTTGTGGGGGCCTGGTGTGAGGTAGTTAGGCTACTGGGGAGCCCTTGAAGGAGAGACTGGTGCCTCAGCTTGTCCTCTTCTTTCTCTCTTTGGTTCCTGACTGCTGCAAGGTGTGTGGCTTCCTCTGCCAGATGTTCCTGCCATGATATCCAGGCTGTCATTGGAAACCTCCAAAACTATGAGCCTAAGTAAACCTTTCCTATTTTTAAATGAACTGTCTTCAGCATTTTGTTACAGTGATGAAAACCTGACTACTGCACTATGATCAACTGCAGTTCAAAAATATCTAAAGAAAAAACTTTTTAGAAATAAACAATTTATATTTTAAATAACTTTTATTATAATATTGTTAATAGTTGGTCTCATTAATCTCTTACTGTGTGTAATTTATAAACTAAACTTTATCACAGGCACAGAGTTTTTTTTTTTTTTTTTTTTTTTTTTTTTTCTCTGGTACCGGGAACCGAACTCACGACCTTGCGCTTGCCAGGCAGGAGCTTTTGCCGCTGAGCTAAATCCCCAGCCCCCACAGGCACAGAGTTTGGTGTGATCCACAGTTTCAGGCATCCACTGGGAACCCTGGAATGCATCCCCTAAAGATAAGGGGGGATTGCTGAACACACACATGCATTATGTCAGTCTGGGGAACCCCAACCCACACCACCCCCTCCTGGCAGAGTCCTTCTGAGCATTATCTGTCCCTGGACCCCTCCTGTCAATGGCTCTCTCCTTCAAGGCCCAGAGCCTGGAGGTGCGCTTCTGCCCCATCCCTCCCTCCCCACGCCAGGGTTCTGCATTTTCCCCACGACTTTCCTATGTTCTGCTCACCCCTTGTAATTAGACCCTCTACAAACTTTCCTCAAACTAGCGATCTGTACGCTTCCTGTTTCCTGTCAGGACCCTGACTGTGTGCCCTCATTTATCAGAAGAGGAAACTAAAGTCACAGGCAGTAGAAGGCACAGCATACAGCACAGAGCACTCGTGGTTACACAGCACTTTAGGGAGGGAACCAACGCCTATAGTGGTGTTCTGACCTCCTTACTTAATGACTTGCATTTCCCTCCCCTGTCCCAGCTTCTATTGTTCTGTCCCTGTGATGATGCCTCTGGCTTGGGGCTTAATACCTGTGCTCCCTGCAGCCTTGTATTGTGTTTTCCATAGCCTGTGGGCCTGAGATTTAACCACTCCCCCCATTATGGTCACCGAGGTGGCCTCCAGCTCTTTAACACCTCCAACAGCAGGGGCCTGGATGTCTTCCTCCATTGTCTCCCTAGGAACCCATGGGCTGACTTGCTGGGACAGAACCCCAGAATCGCATCGTGAGGCCACACGGGGAGACACAGAACAAGGTCCCTCAGTCGGGGCCAGCCCCCCTGCTGGGCAGACTGCCACCAGTGAGCGTCACCAGCAGAACCCAAGGGTCTGCTTCCCCACACCCCACCATCATCCCTGGCCCACCTGTCTAGTTTTTGTAGATATCATTACAAAACTAAATTTAATCTGAATCTTATTTTAATTGCACATCTCTGATCACAGACATATGGGTCTAGGCATCTCTTCATAAGGCTTAGGCCATTCATTCACACAGTCTTTTTAGAATAACATTTGAGATCTTTCACACAGTGTTAAGAGCGAAGACAGATGGCTTCCAAAGGTGGCTGCACCTGCCACCGCAGCCTCCAGGATGGACACGACTCCTTCTACCAGGGGGTGGAGTCCACCTCTGGGACCTCCACATCCAGGCCTAGGGGACCTCAGATTGCTTTCTTCCTCCTTGAAGTCCACAGTCATCCACAGAGGTCTAGACTAGGTCCTGGAGAAGCCACCCGAAGAGGGACCCTGGAGAGTGTTGGACATTCCAGCCCAAGCCAGTGAGCCTGACCGCACCACCTAGAGCCAGGACTCAGCCACCCTTGTCCAGAGTAAAAAGGTGGGCTTGAATCCGTTTCAAGCCTGAAATTTAGGGGAGGTGCTATGCAGCCGCAGAAAACAAAAACAGGATTTTTGCTTTGTGCAGTTTTGTCCTTTCTGACCTCTGGTGCTCCCCGTAGGTTCCAGATAAGCCCACAGCACATTTCCAATGACCTGGCACCACCCCCTTCCTCCCTCACTGCCACCAGCGCACCATAATGGTGCCCACCCTCAGCCCACAGATCTCTGCAGTCAGTAATGGCAAAACCCTTCCATGCAGACAGGAGCTACATCCAGAGGACCAGTCCTGGGAGGGGCAGGAGGTTTCCAAGAGGGGTGCAGAGAGGATTGGTTACCAGCCAGAAGAATGGGCACCCCAAAGCTGGCAAAGGCCCAGCTGCAAGCACGCAGCAAACTGGGACCACTGCCCTGCCTGGAGTCTCCCCACAGGCTCCCCCAGTTCTTCCCCCTTCCTTCCACACGGTGATGAGCTTCCGATGAGCTTCGGCTGACTCCTCCGGGGGTCTCAGCCCTCTGCCACCTCCTCAGAGAATTCCTCCCTCACCGCCCCGGCCTCTGAGTCAGTTTGTTGTTTTCTTCTTAGCTCGAACCATGACTCAGAGTCACTTTATCTGTTTGCCTTCCTATTGCCTGTCCCTTCCGCCAGGATAGGAGGTGACACGAACCAGCATGTCACTTCTGAGTAAAGGTTTGTTGAATGAACAAATGAGAGAATGAGGTAACAAAGAAATGAACCAAACAGACCCCAGATCAACTGGCAAGCCTGCTTTCTCCTACATCTGGTGTAGATTCATGTATGATATCCATACTGAACACTTGCTGTGTGCTAGAGAGTGGTCCAGGTACCGGAGTTACAGCTGAGAACAAAATAAAGTTGGTATTTTTCTAAGTTTATGTTCCAGAGGGAGAGAAAGCTAATAAACAAGAAGATACATGACTCAGGGTCCTAAGTGCTCAGACAAACAGAGGCAGAGCAACAAGGACAATGCTTTATATAGGAGGTCAGGGAAGCATCCCTAGGCAGGTGACATCTGAGCAGGAACTTGAGCAAAGTGAGAGAGGGAGAGAAGTGTTCTAGCAACAGGGAACTGCATATGCAAAGGCCCTGAGGCAGAAGAGCACTGAGTATGTGGAGTAGAAAGGAGAGGGGAGAGCTGAGTAGGAGTTCGTAGCCCAGGCATTTGAGGCTCTGAGGGGCTCTTATGCTTAGAAAAACAGAGTCTCCCATTCCGGTTTTGATTAACATTCTTTATTCCATAGCATTTTTGATCATAAGTATTTGAATCATGAACCCTTTGCTCACAAGTCCTGGAGTTTCTTTTCACATGACCCTCTCCCCCTGCCCCACAGGGGGGCTGAGACACTCCCCCCACCAACTCAGATGGGCTGAGACTGTGATTAAATACTGGCTGCTCCCCCTGGAAAGGAGGGGAGGCTTGTCTCCAGCTCAGGGCCTCAGCCTGCTCCCAGGGAGACACCCTGACTCACTGATGCAGGGTGAGAACTGAATGCTCCTCAGAGAACCTAGGTCTCTAGGGTGCAGGACGGGAAAGTGGGGCCTTGCTGGTCTTTTCTGACACTGAGCTGCCTGGACCCCTCTAGCAGAAGCTTCCTGAGTGTCCATGTCCCCTACTGCGCACGTGCGGGGCTGCAGGTCACCTCTGCTGAAAACTGGGAGTGCTGGAGTCCACCAGGACCTCTCCACCTCCAGCCATGCTGGCAGGAATGTCTCAGCGTCCCCATCTCTGCAAGGGGATTACAGTATGTTGCCTGCCAGAGACATTTTACTGTGGGTTTCTATGAGGCTCAGTTTATCTTTTCAGTTTTCTTTCAGTCCTGAAAATGAGACCTTTGTAAATTAGACCTGCCTATCATTGGGGCAAGATGGGGACCAGCTGCCAGGACAAGAAAAACAGGAGGTGACTCACAGCCACAGATGCCCCAAGGGCCCATGCAGGAGGTCCTGGCTGGAGGAGCCTTGGGTTACCTGTGAAAGGACCAGGCCCAGAATTGGCCTGACCTCAGAATTATGGACAAGCTGAGTCAGATGAAAGAGGAGAACCCTGAAGGTCTGGGGTAGAGATGTCAGCAGGCGATCCTCAAACTGCCCTAGTGTGCTTGGGAGCCCAGAGATCAGCACAGTGGCTCTGCAGTCCCCACGTCCTCAGGAAATCGCCCGTCCCTCCCTCTGTCTCTCGGGGTTGGGAGCAAGCCCTGCTGCTGGGTATCCACAGGGATGATAACCAAACAGCTGGTGCAGAGCAGACACCAGCCAAGCACAGCCCACCCAAGCTGGGACAGCTTCAACATCTGTTCTGGAACGTTCCAGCCCTCAAGTCTCTAAGGCAAAGTGGTCCTTAGAGGCAAGATGGTCTCTCCAGAGAGACCTAAAATGGTCCATCAGGAAGAAAGTTACTGCACCTGTGCGGGTGGACATGGCTTCCTATCCCAAGTGTACAAGACAAACGCACATCCGGGGCTTGCTAGGTGCAGTTAGATTGGACAGTCTGACCCCTAACCACGGGACAGGTCATGGAGAGGAGCTTGATGAGGCAGCAGATCTGGGAGAGAACTGGGCCTTGAATGGCATGAGAGAAAAAGGGAAGGTGTCCTGGACAGAGAGCCTATGGGCCTGAGTGGACCTGGAGGTCTCAACGCTTGCTGCATATTGGATTACAGAAAGGAATTTCTCGATCATCCTGTAGGGTCCTAGCAGCAGGTATTGTGCTACTGGATATCCGCCCAGCCCACAGGGAACCCCTGGGGGTGTGCGCGTGTCAGAGGTTGTGAAGCGTGGTGTTCGTCAAGGTGAATGGCAGTGCTGTGACATTGGTTGAGTGGCTGCTGGCCCAGTCTGGAAAGGTGCCCAGCTGAAAGATGCTCTGCGCCCAGGTGTTCATGGCCAGGCTGAGCAGCAGGACACCCATCACGTTCATCAGGAAGCCGGTCCGTACCTGAAACAGAGCTCACACTGAGTGGGGCTCGGCACAGGCCCTTCGCACTGGAGGGGAAACTGGGGCTCAGAGGCAGGAGGTCAGTCTCTGGAAAGCCAACATCTGGGGAGTGATGGGCCGGGCCACAAACCCAGGTCAGTCACTGCCCGAGACCCTTCCGTCTCACACCACCCGGAGCCGTCCCGCGGGGAGCTGCAAGCCTCCCTGCTCCCTGGGTGGCCTGCAGGTGGTGCCAGGCACCACACATGCGTTCTCACAGGGAGACCCACTTAACCTCGGAAGCCCCCATTCGAAGGTCATTATCAGTCTCTCTGTTATGGGAGAGGAAAATGAGGTCCAGAGAAATTGTTTTGCTCAAGGTCACATGACCTGCAAATAATCATTTAGCACCCCCTACTCAAGATACACGTATAGACACAAGCAATGTATGTACACACGTATGCACATACACATACAGCACACACGTACGTGCACATGCCTGCAAACACACACACACACACACACACACCACACACTCTGCAGGTCCAGTTAAGCCATCTGGTCTATGGGGAAGAATTTTTCCTCTGGAAATTTTACCTCTGTAAGTGCCTAGAAAGCACTTGCCCATCTGCCCCCTCCCCTGGTTGGTCTCTCGTACTGTCCAGTCCACCTTGGGCTAAAATCCCTGTTTTGCTGTTTGGTTTTTCTGCTTGCTTCCGCTTAGCATTCCCTTGGCTCAAGTCCACGGTGAGGAAGGCTTCCCCTTCCAGAGCTCTCGCGAGCCTATGGCTCACAGTGAAAGTGTCTCTGGCACTCTCCTGCCTCAGCCTTCTCACTGCCTTGCCCGATGCCATTGGTACCTTTTGAGGCAACTGTCATCAGGGAAAACCTGACTTATTTTTTTATTTCTTTGCATGTACTACAAGTTTTCCATGGACTCATGCACTGGAAACTTTTCTTTCCAAGTATTCTTATCTAAGTTTTTAAAAACAAAGTGGACTTAGCAAAATTGTTGAATAAATAGGACGGTTCGCAGAAAAGGCACGCATCGTGAAGGCGGAAGGTCAAATGTGAGGTCGCACGTGCTCTGCTGAGCCGCCCTGTCCCAGAGGGGGTGGAAGCCCCTGGCACCTTTGCGGGAGAGAATAGCCCAAGCTGCGCTCTGTGATGCTGGACCCACAGCGTTACTCTAATTAGCAACGAAGCAGTTTCTCTGGGGAGCAAATCCTGCAGGTGGGCCATAGAACAGCTGCTGTGGTGGCCTCTCGGCACCTTCTCCGTCTCATGGAGTGTGGTCTCTGCCTCTGGGGGGCCTCTCGTTTCTCTTCCTGTCTCTTCGCTCTCCAAACCTGAGCTGTGCACTGACTTGACCCTCACTGTCTTTTTCTGCACAAGGCCTCCCGGCTTCGGTACCTGTCCCTCCAGTGCTAACAACCTTCCTATCTGGCAACCAAAGTAATCCGCTAAAGGCGGAAGTTAAAGCACACCGTAGCTCTGCTTACAACCCCATCCGGGCCTCCCACTGCGGTTTGAATAGTGTCCCAGGTCTGTGCCCCGCACTCTGTTCCCCTTCAGGTTCCCAGCTCTGCAGCCGCTCTCCCACTCTACCGCAGTCCCAACGCACAGAGCTGCTCCCCACTGCAGCCCCGTGCCCCTCTGCTGGTCAGTTCTTCCAGGGCTGGCTGCTTCCCACATCCGTTCTCAGCTCATACATCCCCTCCTGGGAGAGGCTGTCTACCTACCTAAGGTGATCCCCATCATCCTCTTCCTCTGCCCCATGTCCCATGCTCCATGTTTTATTTCCTTCCTAGCACTTAACAGTACAGAACTCTACGTTATTGTCAAAACCCACTGAGCTTGTCTACTGTCCGTCTCATCCGTAGCAAACACCCTCCCTGGAGCCGGCTCTGCTGCCCCTGGTGGCCAAAGTATGTAGTGCATGCAGCAGAAACCTAGCAAGGAACGGTCAGGGACCATCGCTGGGATCTGGGATCTCCTCTGCCTCTTCCCTCTCTCGCTCGCTCTTTCGCCATTCATCTTGCTGGGGTCACGTGCCTGGTTAGACAGATGGCACTTCTGGGATGCTGACAGCTCAGGACACTGGAGAGGGAAGGGGTTGCAGAGGGCAAGAGAGAAGGAGGAGTTGCCTCTGCAGGGAGCCTCGCTAGGGGAACGGAACACATTGTTGTGGCCCTCTGGAAGGTGGTGGGTGGCCCTCACCACAACCCTCAGCTTTCACCCATCTCACTCCCGCACTGGCTGGGCAGTGAGAGCCCCTCCGAAAGCTCTGCATCCCTGGGTGTGTCTGCTTCCCCTGCCTCCTAGAGATTCTGAGCATGGAGCACTGGCAAACAAGCAGGACAACAGAGCAGAGTCTAGAGAGCGGGGCGAGTCTCCTGTCCCTGAAGCCAGCTGTGGAAAGTCATTGCCAGGCAGCCTTTCTGGTAAGAGTCTAAGTGTGTGTTTCATCCCAGTGCTTGCTATCATTTAAATGCCCAGCCCCACTCAGAATGACCTGCTCAGAGGTGTGGTGCTGGGTGTGGGGAGGGCAGGGTCCTGCTGGTGTCCCCCACCTTCCCAGGCCATGGGTACAAATGCGCAGACTCACCATATCTTTGACCAGCAAGTCTCCAGAAGCGAAGGCGATGGAGTTAGGGGGTGTAGAGACCGGCAGCATGAAGGCGTAGGAGCAGCCGACTGTGCCCGGGATCATCAGATACAGCGGGTGCACCCTCAGGCGGACGGCCTGGCCAGGCGGCAGGGACAAGACACAGACAGGCATAGAGGGACCCCAGCGAGAGAGAGACAGACAGGCAGGCAGTTGCAATGAGAGGGACATAAAGACATAGAGATTAGCAGAGTGGCAGAGAGCAGTAAAGACACGCGAGAGGAGACAGACAGACAGACAGATGTGCAACCACAAATACAGAGAGAGAAGCCAACCAGCAGAGACCCAGGCAGGAGACGGAGACACATTGCAAAGGTCAGTGACGCTGCAGAACCACGATTTATCCAGAGCCTTCCTTCTCAAGTGTGTGTGAGTCAGAATCCCCCAGCACGCCCCTGAAAACCCAGATGGAGGACCCTACTTCCTCAAGATGAGGCAATCCTAACCCTCCAGGTCGGAGTGGGGCCCAGGACTTCGCATTTGGCACAAGTTCCCCAGGGGATGCTGAGTCTGGTGTGTGTGCGGGGTCCAGGGGCCGCACACTGAGAACCACAGCTCTAACACAACTCCCTGACCGGGTCCTTCCTCAGCCAAACCATCCCGGTAGCTGCCTCTGGGTGGCTCCTGGGGGGGCCTGGCTGGATTTCAGAGGCAGGAGAGCTCAGGACAGCATCCGCTGTCAAGCATTCCCCATTTCAGAACCCGTGCAGGAAGTGTGCCTGTGGGTTGGTCTCGGGCAGCGGGCCACCCTCTCCTCACCTCTCCCAAACGCTACATTCCCCTGTAAGTCATGCTGATCAGCTCTCTCGCATTTTACTTAAGACATAACACGTTGGGGCCCTCTAAGGAGTTTGTGGCACCCCAAGCATATACATTTCCCCAAAAGCTCCCACGCCATCCTCGTGTGTGTACATGTCTTGATTTTGATGAGAAGTAGAATTTAGAAGAATGCGTCTTTCACAAGTGTCTTCAGAGAACGTGGCCCCTTCCATTTCTCTTTATTCCAGGTCCCTCTGATCTGACTGATCAAACCCGGTTACACTTAGAGGGTGTGAGGACTCCCACTCCACACAGCCATGGGAGGGTAAGTTGGGGAGCCACTTTGGGGCATAATTTGCTCAGATCTAACATTTATACGCACGTGCTCTTTAATCGAGGACTCTCGTTATGGGAATTTCTCTAGATTTAATCAAGGATGCATCCCCAAGGCAAGGTCAAAATGGGATTGTTAAATAACGATCTGGAAATACTTATATGCCTGCTAGGAGGAGATTGCTTAAGTGAATCTACAACTGTCTGATTACAAGGGAATATTTGCCCGTCATTGAAAAAGTACACGGTGTGTCTCTGCACGCTGATGCAGCATGCCCTCCACTGCAGACTGATACACACAATAAGCAAACCACGACCCCCCAAAAGGTGGTGCGGATCAGTGAGCTGCTGCATTGCTGACTGGATACCAAGCGTAGGTACCTGCAACACTGCCTTAATTTTATGAGCTTTGGATTATATTAAGATAATCATATAGTTTGGACTTCTTTAATCTGTTTAAATATAAAACTGTATTAATAGTTACCTAAAGTTAATCCTTTTGAAAATTCCCAGTATAAAATCTACCTGACTGTGATGTACTGTTCTTCGCATACAATCCTGGGTTCACTTTGCTGCAGTGTCTGCATCTTCCTTTACACGAGAGACCTATTGCGTCTCCACCTTCACGTTCTGGGTCTGGATTTAGGGTCAGGTTTGCAGATCTCACACCAGGATTGCGTGGCTTTCTCAGCCAGCAAAAAGGGTTCTGGATAAATCATCCCAGGCCCTCCCTGATGAGACTATCCTGGGCTGGTGGTTTTAGAGCAGAGGTTCTCAACTGGGTGTGATTTATCCCCAACAGGAGCACTTGGCAATGTCTGGAGATGTTCTGGGTTGTCATAATCTAAATTAGGTAACTTGTGTCTTCCCAGAAAACTCTCCATGTCACCATGGATTAATGAGGGAATGTGTTGCACTTTGAAAATATTTATTCTGTTTACGCACTTCTGGAAGAAAAATGTCTCTGTTGTTTAAGAAATGGCTCTGCGGTTCTGACCCTTGCATGCACTTGGGAAGACAGGGATGGCAACTACGACCCCTGAGGGTGTGCCCACGTTGGGGGGTCCCCTCTCCCCCCAGAAGGACCCTCACCAGCTCCGCGAGGACAGGCAGGAAGATGATGATGGTGGCGGTGTTGCTGGCAAACTCCGTGAAGAAGGCGATGACGATGGTGATGAGAAGAACCGCCAGGACCGGGGGCACGTTCTCCAGCGGGTGCAGCTGCCCCCCAATCCACACCGAGAGCCCTGACTCCTGCGGGGCAGGGGCGGCCATCACACCCAGCGCCGAGCCAGGGAGAGGGTTGGGGTTTATCCTAACAAGGACAGCGCTGCCCTTCGCAGACGGGGGGCCTGGCTGCAGAGGGATAGAACGCGTCCGAGGTCCCCATTTGAGCCAGCAGCCTCCCCGCCCCTCGGATTCCTCTCCATGCTCCGTGGGCCGGTGCCCACACCCGGGGTCCCTGATAATCCCTTTGGTTAGAGTCAGAAGCAAACCTTCCATCTGGTCCTAGCACCCTGAAGTCCCAGCCTGAGTGGGAGAGGGGATCAGATGCTTTGTTGTAAATCTTATTCCTCCAGTGGTGTTTATTAATGAACCAAACAGTAACACGCAAAATATTCATTATTCTATAATAACATCAACCAACATGCACCAAATGCATTGTTTATGCAATCTCCCTACAAGTCATATGTAAAATAAAGCATGTACCATATATATGTGTATCAAAAGCAACACAGTGTGATTACCAATAAGGGTACTGATCCCCATGACCATCATGTGACCATTAAGGTCAACTCTGCGCTGTCCTTCCTTGTCATAGACCCGCCAGGCTCTGCTACCTTTCCTGCTGGGTCCTCCTAACCATCCTGTAGGGTGGACGTGACCGTCCCTGTTTTAGCGAGGAGCAGGAGGTTGTGTGACTTGCCCAGGGTCCCCAGAGTGGTGACTGAATTACACCTCTACCTCTGCAAAGCTCCCAGGTGCTCACACCTCCCTCGGATCACTGGTCTGTCACTTTGTCTTCTCCTCTCTTTTTTGTAGTACTGGGGATGGAACCCAGGCCCACATGCAGGCTAAGTAAATGCTCTACTGAAGAGCTACATCCCCGACTCTTTTTCAAAATTTTACTTTGAGCAAGGTCTCACTAAGATGCCCAGGCTGGGCTTGAACTTGCTATCCTCCTCCATCTGCAGCCTCCTGAGTGGCTGGGATCACAGGCCTGCCCCACTGCTGCCCAGCTACTTTGCCTCTTAATGAAGAGCAATGTCCAGAGCTGACTGCAGTCCTCCAGGCTGGGGACAGCATAATAACCAGGGCAGGAAGGCACAGGTGGGGCCATTCAACTCCACTTGCATCAACGCTGCAGAATAATTGGGGTGCTCTCTCTGCCGACTTCTCCAGGAATCACCCTAGTTAGCAATGTACAGTGTAATACCCCACCCTGGCCTTCCTGCCATCAAAGGTACTGTATCCTTGAACCACCCAGATCAGCAGATCCTCACCGTGACCACAAAGCTGTGAAGTCAAATTATTCTCGATGCTGCCCCCTGGTGGCACCATGCGGCAAGACCACAACAAAGCTGCAAGGGCTGGTCCTAAAGTTTATCTTTCCGCAAAAATAACAGCTGCAGGGCGTGGTGATGCATGCCTGTAATTCCAGCACTCTGGGAGGCTGAGGCAGGTATTCACGAGTTCAAGCCCAATGGGAAACTCAGCATAACTTAGCGAGACCCTGTCTCAAAATAAAAATAAAAAAGGTTTGGGAGTGTAGTTTAGTGGGAACGCCCTGGGTTCAGTCGCCAGTACAGGAAAACAATAAAAAATAAAGAAGAGCAAGCTGTAAGCTTAGGAGCTGAGCAAGGGCAGAGTTAGATTAGTCTCTTAACATTGAGAGTCACATGTGCTCCTACCACAGTTCTGCAGTCCTTTCACCAACGCAGCATCCTTTGGTACCAACCTAAGTTGTTTTACCAAGGAAACGTAATACATTTTTCTTTTATGGGTAACAGAACGTTTACTGCTTTTTAGAATTTAAAATTTTATACTGGATTCTAGAATAACCATATATTCTTTTCTGAGACAGGTATTTGCTATGCAGTACAGGCTGGCTTTAAACTCACTGTGTAGCCCAGGCTGGCCTTGAATTCCTGGTGATCATCCTGTCTCAGCCTCCCAAGTGCTGGGATTACAGGTGTGCACCACCATGCCCTGCACCATATGGTCTTTACATAAATAAAATAATATATTCTCCTCCACAATTTGACTTAAAAATTGCCTCCAATTCACATATTATAAATGCTTAAAAATGTTTCACTCCGGGAAAGTCCTGGTGGACTGATGGTGTTTGTTGTATCCCTGCACCATTGGGCAGCCTGGCTTAGCCCTCCTCTGGCCAGAGGTACTCTACGGAAAAAATGGGCCACCAGCTCTTTCCCTGGGCCAGGGCTGTGGCACAGAGACCAGCAGCAGGGTGTGCAATCAAATGGAGAGGGACTGCTGAAGCGAATGCTAATGATTTGGGTGAGAGGGACACCGGGTGCTTCCCCAGAGCTTGGCCTCTTAGTGCCAGGCTTCCAGCCAACATCCTGCAGCCACTCAGGGCCTGGCTCAGCTTCCTCACTGTGGGGAAGTCTGGCAGCTTCATGAGGGAGGGAAGCCCCCAGCCACCTGGGGTTCTGTCGGGACACTATGGGGACTTCCCCACTCCCTTAGGAATCAGAAGCTCCATTTCCTTGGAAACACAGTCCCCCTACAGGTTCCCAAGGATATCAGGGACCAGCAACAGCCAAGGTCCAAGTCAGCAGGACCAGAGAGAGGGTCAGAAGGAAAGGCTCTGGAGTCAGGCTACATGTGCAGCCCAGCTTAATCCCTTCCAGCTGCCATCCTGGGCAGGAAACTTAACCTCTCTGGGCCTCAGTTCCCTTGCTGGTGAAGCCAGGATAATGATAATGTCCAGCCCAAAGGTTCACTGGCAGAAGAAGAGGAAGTGATCAGCAAAGCACCTAGAAAGGGGCAGGCACCTGGTAGATGCCCTGATGTGTGCCAGCTGTACTTCTTGGTGGCATCAAGCCATGAGATGCCAGAAGTGGTGGAACTCAGAAGGCACCCAATGCAATGGCCGTTCATGGGGACCCCAACGGTGGCCAGAGGACCTGAGACCGCTGTGCGGGATGGGGGAGGGAGCCTGGGCTGCCACGATGATCCCTCCCTCCCTCTCTTTTCCAGCCACAACCAGACCCTCCTTTGATCGCTTTCTATATAGCAGGGTCATGGCTTATAAGGAGAATGCAATAGTTTAATGATCAAAATCAGAATCCACTGGAGGTCCTTGGAGATCTCTTAAAAGTCTCATAAAACATAGCAGTGGTCTTGACTGCTATGTGCAACTCTAGGTAATAACTCTTAGGCAGAAAGACCAGCAGATTGGACTAAAGGAAGGAAAAAAGGAAAGGTTTTGTGCACGGGTGTGAACATTGAAACCTTTGTAGCCCTGGCAAGTTGTGTGATCTCGGGCAAGTTATTTAACCTGTGTTCCTTGGGTTCTTTAAATGATTGTGGTAAGGTTTAAATAAGTACATGTAAAAATGGTCCCAGGGCATACTATGTGGCTTGTTATTTATTTAATATAACGAGCACTTAATTTAGTGTTCGTGCAGTGCTGGTCATTCTTCTAAGTATAGTAAAACCTTGGATCGCAAGTCACCTGTTCTGTAAATGTTCTGCAAGATGAGGAAACGTTTCTAGCTGATGGTTCTCCTCTCTCCCACCCTGTCTTTCCCCAGGACTGTGGGTGATCATCTCCTAACAGCAAGAGGCTATAGAGGGGATCTTGTCAGCAGAGGAGGAGGAAAAAAGGCGGAGGAATTCTCACTTCAAATGAGACTAGGGAGATGCATAAAATGTGGGGAAAAGTGCCAAATTTTATAGAAAAGCGCCACCCCGATAAGGCTGCAGCAGTGTGAGCCATGAATCTGTTTCATGACAATGTAATGCCACATTTCCATGAAACAATCAAAGGGGGACAAAAGCAAGTATCAGTGCACAGGTTCCTTGTTAAACCTGCATGTAAAGAAAAAGATTCCAGGGAGCCGACTGACAGCAGTGATTCTGACAGAGCAGTGAAAGTGGTCTTACAAGATGACCCTCCTCTCTCTTGTCTCCCTCACACCAGCCATGAAGGTTTTCAAAGGTAAGTGTGGGTTAATTTGTTTATTTTTCTTTATTACTTTGCATTTTCTTTATTACTTTGCATCTATTACAGTATTGCAATCATTTTTGTATGAATTTTTGAGGGTTGTGGAACAAATCATAAGTTGTCATTATTTCTTATGGGGAAATTCACTTTGATATGCAAGTGTTTTGTGTTACAGGCATGTTTCCAAAATGAATTACGCTTACAAGCCAGGGTTTTACCTGTGCTTTGTTAGTATTATCTTATTTCACTTTCATAACAACCCCGTGAAATAGATAATACAATTATCCTCATTTTATGGCTGGAGAAACTGAGGCACAAAAAGGGTAAGTGATTTGCCCAAATGAGAGAAGTTATTTTTCCAAGTGATTTGGAGCTCAGAATCTGGATCGTATGATAATAATGGTAACAGTAATGATAAGAGTAATAAAGATGACTGATTTCTAGCAGAAAACAAGGGGCATTTTTACATGTCTATAGGGTTTGCTATGCTGCCTTAGTATCAAGCATCTATAACTTCAAAATAGGTGAAGTTGTTTGCTGTAGGGACTTTTTATACACGAAGGCAACAGAACAAGACCAAGCTGTCTTCCCTGGAAGGCGGCATATTAACAACAGTGACAATGACAAGGCAGAGGCTCCTGGTTTTCTTCCAGGTACTTTCCCTACAACATCTTATCAGTTTCAAAATAGCCCATGGTATAGGTTGTATCAACAAATACTTGTTAGCACCATGCAGTACTGGGACCCTGCTGATCTCCTGATGTCTGGACCCAAGGTGGACGAGACAAATACGGTCCCTGTCCTTATGGAGCTTGCCTTCTTCTAGAAGGACAGGGTCATGGTGGGGGATAGGGTATAAAGGAAATAAGCAGAGTGGTGAGAGGAAGAGGAGGTAGGCACTGCTTTAGCTGGTGGTCAGAGAGCCCATCTCTGAGGAGCTGAGAACTGAAGATTGAGTACTGAGAGATCTCTTGGAGAATGTTTGACAGAGAAAGATAGGTGCAAAGATCCTGGGGTGCGAATGAGTCTGGCGTGGCTGAGGAATGGCAGGGGCCAGTGGAACAGAGGAGAGTAAAGAAGTGGGAGAGGTAGTGGGCATCATAGGGGTGGTAGGCAGGGGCCAGGCTGTGTGTGGTCCTGTGTGCAGGCCCGGGAAGTCTTGGGATGCTGGAGCTCCAGGTAAGCTCCAGGAAATGCTTCCCGCACTGGGAAGCCCACACAGCAGCCCCCTACCCCACCCGGACCTCCAAGCCTCTAGAGGCCTGCTACGTCCCCGCCAAGGCCTGGACAGGCTCCAGGGACCTGGGTGTCCCATAAAAATTCTGGGCACTGCAGAGCCGGGCTGAGGCTGCCCTGGGACAGCGTGGCACTGGCAGAGGCTGGGGAAAGGGGCAGCTGCCCCACAAAGGCCAGCTGAGCAAAAAGCCCCAACGGCTGCCAGAGCTGGGCACAGAGCCAGACTGGCCTCCGGGCACCCATCGTGGCCCTGCTGCCCAGCCCCCAGGCCACACGCAGCCCTCTGGGTAACAGGGTCTCCTCTTCCAGCCCCTGGCCAAGGGCCAGGCTGGGTTTGGGTCATCTCCCTCACAGGTTGTTGGGAGGTCTGCAGGAGATGCCTCAGGGGAAGTATTGAGAGGCCTGGCACAAGGCACGCGCAATGCGCCATCGCTCCTCTACTCCGGGGGCCTGTGAGTACCCTGCGGGTCAGGGTACTGACCCCCTTCCTCCACAGCACCGGTGCTCAGGATGGGCCTGCAAGGTGGCAGCGGGGATCCTCCGAGTGCGGCAGCTGTGAGGCGGGCTGTGCCTGCAAGGCCTGTGCCATCCCTGCTCCTGCCCTGCAGGCCCCGGGCTCCCTCGGGACTTACCTCACAGCCTTTGGCCATGGCGAAGCCGCCTCCCAGGAGAAGGATGATGTTCCAGGGCACTGACTCCTGAGCCTTCTGCCAGGTCAGCAGGGGCTTGGTCTCCACATTGGGAGCTGGGCAGAGAGAGGGACCGGACACCTGCTTAGGCACTTGGCCAGAGGAAGGGGCCACAGGCCCTGCAGCCTCCGCGTTGTGGGGATGCGCAGGGGTCCCAAGCAAGCCAAGGTCTGGTCCAGAGCCTGCTTTTGGAGAGTCAGCGAGAAACCTCACAAGCATCATTCAGAGCGGTAACAATTTTCACGGCTCCCACAGATTCAGAATGTTCCGGAACCAGGCTGTCTTCCAGGACATTGTTTCAATCTCCCAACAGTCATTCGGGCTAACTGCTATTTTTAATCCTCATTCACAAGAGAAAAGGCCTTCTTTGTATTTGAATTTGTTCAGAGAAGGGGAAAAAAGGAAGGAAATTCAGCAAAACAGAACTAAGTAAGGGTCCTTCAGCCATAAAGGTTCAATGTATGGCGTGGAACTTCCTCAAATGGGACAGAGTGTTGCAGTGGTTGGAAGGCAGGGTGGACATTGGCAAACTTCCTCCGTCCAAGGCCAGAGAGTGGACCGTTCAGGCTTTGCAGGCCACACCTACTGTCTGGGAGGTAACTGCCCTGTCGCTGCACTGGGGAGGAAGCTGGGGACCATGGGCCTGGAGCGCTCTGGGAGAGCTCTGTCTGCAAATACACAGTGGGCTCGGCTTGGCACACGGGTTATGTTCCTTCCCTGCTTGCAGCGCGGGCCTGGAGACAGCCCCTCCTGGGCCGTGGCTGGGTGTGGGCCTCTCTGGCCCTTTCTTCCTCAGCCTACACAGGGCTCAGGCATAGGGCCTGGAGGTCCCTGTGAACATGCCTGAGGCCATGATGGATCTGTCACCGGAAGGGCTGTTTCGCTTAGCTGACAGCTGCGTCCCGGGGTCTGGGACGGTGAATGGCGCTCAAGATTACTCTGTGGCTGTGTGCCAAGTGACATCTATGACACGCTTCGCCCCGTCCACAGTGCAGAGCAGGCCTAAAACAGGACCTTTCTCTGCAGGCTTCGTCCAGGGAGACAAGGGGGACAGCCTGGCTCCTCCTCTCTATTTCCCAGGACGCTTCCTGGTCAAGTATCCGCTGACATTTTGCTTCTGCTTTTCAGCTTTACCCATATTTAACACAGAGGTTTACCTGAAACCAGACACTATCATCAGAACATAAAGACAGTAAAAGCTTCCTGGGCAAGTCAGCAGGAGGCCCGCCGTACGCGGCCCACAGGTGTGTGCAGCCCACACAGGAGCGTATATGTGGGGCCGGTGCGCACCGCCTGGGGACTCGTGGGCCGGATGCAACACTCAGCTCCTCCCGGAATCGCAAGAGGTGACGGGAGATGGCAAGGGGTCCAGCTCCCTGCCTAGAGGTGATTACAAAGCAGGCGAGGTCTAAACAAGGAAAGTGACTTGTCCCACATGGCAGGTGTCACAGTGACAGGCCGGAAGGAGGCCCTGACCGTGGGTGTCAAGCAACGCAGACTCACTGGCGAGTGCTCCTCAGACTGCCTGCTGCATGCCAAGAGCTCACTTCCCATCAGCGGTTGCTGCTCCTGCTCTTCCCCCGCCCCCCACGTGCCCTGCCACTGTTCCATGAACTGGGAGGATTTCCTACTTCTGCCTCCCCTCTACGCCAGCTGGCATCGCAGCAGCGGCTAAAAGCACAGGCTTTGCAGTCCACTGAATCCTAGCTCTGCCATCCCCTAGCTGCGTGACACAGGCCAGGGACTGCACCTCTCTGAGCCTCGAGGGCCTTATCTGTGACATGGGAGGGCAGCATTTCCACAGCCTTCCCTTGGAGACTTGCTGGTGAGAGGACACGGTCCCTTGGATGCCAAGGGCTTAGCCCAGGGCCTGGCCCACAGCAAGCCCTGCTGCTTCACTTGGTGAATATACACTGAGTGCCCACCTTGTGCCCAGCACTCCCCGGACACTGGGAGCACAGCAGGGCAGCACGAGGCAACTCCCTCCCTGGTCAGCTGACGCTCCAGTAGGGCAGGCAGGTAAGAAACAAATAGGTCATGCTGGCAAATTCCATGTGCTGCGATGGAAAATAAAATGGGGTGAAGAAATAGAGAGGGATAAAAAAGGATGCTTTTCCCGTTCAGGGAAGGGGAGGGGGATCTGGACAGAGCCCTGAACGAAGTGACGGAGCGAGCCACGCAGATGCATGGAGGAGGAGCTGGCTGGGCAGAGAGGAAATAGGAGCACTGTCATCAGCATCCTCAGCCTCAGCCTCCTCAACAGAGCGGCGACCACACACACGCGTGGACTGCATTGGCCATGGATCGATACTTGAACGACTGCCACGGGGAGGACCATACGTGTAACCCAGGTCACAGAAAAATGGAAGATGGTGGGGAGGACTTAACAGGAAAATCAGTGCAGTCTGCTTTCCACGTCCTGCCTCTTTTTTGGCTACTGTGTGACCTTATTCAGGTCACTCTCTCTCCATGGAAACACACTGTGTGGTCACTCCCTGTCTCTACAAAAGGCTTCAGGGCTGAGTGATACAAATTGTCATCTTGGCCAAGTATGCGAAGTCCCCTGGTGCTCACAGCGCCCTCCTCCCTGAGAGGCAGCGCAGGAAACCCCAGTTCAGCAGGCTTCAGTGTAGGTGTCACACTGCCACTCGCACACCAGACTCAGCACACAGAGATTTAGTGTGACTGGTGTCAGCGACATCAGTCTGCTTTGCAATTTAAATTAATTGTCAACACTTAAAATCGGGGGGGTTTCTTACAAAAATACAGATCTTGGCTTCTCTTGAGAAATCAGCAAATTAGACCATCCTAGTTCTTTTTTCCCACATGGTGACAAATGGTGGAATCCGAGCAACGTCTGCTCCCCTAAATGGACATGAGCGGGCTGGGCTTGCGGGGCTAGGAGGCTGAGGTCTTGCCACTTTGTGTCACCTGCTGCTGTTGCATACCCATGCTGCAGGACATGTCTCTGTTGCAAAGATGTGATGGGAGAGATGGATGAGAAGGGCCGGGTGTTTGGTGAGACGTATTCCCCGCGCCCACTCTGCCGCAGGTGGATGCTGTCTCTGTAAGCATTTCGGTTTGCAGCCCCTGACCTCCAAAGCCACTGACTGCCAGAGATGGAGGGCATTGAAAGGACCCTTGCCTTATTGAGTGCAAAAGCCAGGCTGCGAGGAACAGAGGGACTGAGCAGTCACCGGAGTGGGTGACAGAGCTGCCACACCGACCCTCTACATCACTGTGCCTGGGCACCCGGCTGCCCTCCAGGGGACAGAGCCATGGACAGGCACCTGAGCAATGGCCTCCAGACTACAGCCGGCCGGGACCCATGCGGCTGTGAGAGCTGGTCACCTGAGAACAAGCTGCACCCAGCCGCCTCGGGCTCTCAGATGCGCCAATAGGAGACAGAGCCCCAGAGGAAGAGAAGAGATAACTAAAGGAGACGGCTTGAACAGGCAGGAGACTGCGCCACAGGAGGGGCGGGAGTGGGCCGAGGGTCTGCAGAAGCAGGAACAATGCACAGAGGAGATGATACCAGGAGGAAGTGGTCACCGCTGAAATCCCAGTGAGCCGGCACCAGGAGGGAGCAGGCACGGTGAAGGAGAATGAACAGAAGCTGTGAAGGTGCAGGAACTCACCCGAAGCAGAAGCTACACATGTGCAAAAAGCGAAAAGCTGTGAGCACAGCCAGCTGCAAGGCAGACAGGGCAGCGGAGGAGGGAGGCGCCGAGCTCTGCTCACCTCTGCCTCCCGAGGACCAGCCCCACACAGCCGCTCACGAGCCCTGAACTCCTGGTCTCCTGTGGGGGCCTCATACTGGCTGGGACTAGCCTGCATCAATCGCTGGACACAGTTACATAACAGCTCTGGCCTCCTGCTGCCCCAGGTGTGCACTGGGCCTGTCCCAACCCCATCCCCATGGCCGGTGCTGGGGCTGCCCCTGCTGGAAATGCAGGGGTGGTGGATGGGCAGTCTGAGGGCCAGGCTGAGGAAGGCAGGTTGGGCATTCAGTGAGGCTTTAAAAACAGGATTTGACTGCTGCTAGGGAGTCTGCCTCTGACCTCAGGCTTTCTACATGGGTGAAACCCAGCTTGGTTTGCCTGCCTGGCCCTTAGGCCCCTGAGCTGAGGTTCTTGCCTTCAGGGAGGGGATCAGGCAGTTTTCTGTAAAGGGACAGAACGTAAACATGTGTGGCTTTGTGGCAATGTTGAGGCTGCCATGGCAGTACGTACACAACCAAAGAAAATAAATTCCCACAAATTTCTCGAGGAAATGCAAAACTGTGTGTAGACACTGATATTTGAATGTCATGTAATGTTCGTATGGCAGGAAATACTTTTTGACCATTGGAAAATGTGAAAATCATTCTTGTCTCAAGGGTTGTACACAAGCAGACAGCTCTGCTTCCGGCCCAGGGATGCCTAATGCCTGTCCCGGACTGTCACCTTGGGCAGCCCTTGGTCCCCAGACAAGGTAACCCCTCGGACGGTGCAAGGGGACACGCAGGGCCGTGTGTTGGGACAGAGGGACTGCTCCGGGTCACTGAGCTCCCCACACATGTGCCATGCCACAGTCCACACTGAGCCCAGTCAGGCCCCAGCCTGGACCCTCTTACCTTTGAAGTCAAGCCACCACTTGAGAGAAGGCCTTTGGGATGGGAAGAAGAACAAGATGATGACAATGGCCATGCCTGTGACAGCATCAGAAATAAACCTACAATGAGAAGGTCCCAAATCATGTGACCCTGGGCTTCTCAGCAGGCTGTGGTTTGGCAGATCGCAAAGGAGGATTAGTGGGGGTTACTGGGCCCCAGGGAAGGGGACTTCAGGAACCCGGGAGGCTAGATGCTCTCCTGCCCAGGGCTCAACAGGGACACGTACACCTGCAGGGGCAATGCCTTAGCTACAGCTCTTTGAGGTATTTAGACTTGCTTGAGCCCAACAAATGCTTATCTTCCCAATTCAAGGCCCTTAGGAGGAGGGACCTGACCAAAGGGACAGAAATCTTGAGAGCCACAGAATATTGGAGTCTATGAAACCCCCATAGTCACCCTGACTGGGACTCCTGTAGGAGCCCTGTACGTATTTATCCAGCTAATGCTTGAGTTCCTCCTGGTATGGGGAGCTCACCACACAGATGCAGCCTGTCACACCAGCGGAGCCGAGACCCACCCAGCGTCACAGCTCCTCCTAACCTAAGTGCCACCTTCCCAGCATCCATTATGTGTCTTTTGCAGGAGCTTGGTAGAACCGAAGCCCTCGGAGCAGGCATCTTCCATTTCAAATGGAGATTCGAAGGGCCGGGGAGCAGAAATAGCTTGTTTAAAGCCGAACCATGGTTTGTGGAGGAGATGGGCCTTGAATTCAGAATTTTCTGACACCAAGTTCAATGAAGCTCAAAGCTATTTGCGAACAAATCCTCTTTCAGCTTGCACATTTGGAAAGAGGGGCATTCAAATAGCTACGAAGTGGAAAAAGAAGGCTGATATTGCCATGATCCAGGAACTATATGTTAAAACATACATGGGAAGCTACTCCTCTGCCAATGGACTGTCCAGACTTAAGAGGGGAAGGCAAACCTGCTGATAGTATTGGGGAGACACGGACCAGCAGTGGGAGAAGAAAGGGCTTTCACTTTCTAGAAGGCGGGTCACTTGTTTCCAAGTTGTACATGTGAATGTTCTTTGATCTAAGGTCTCCACAAGGATTATGTAGAAATTATATATGGAGGAAATCCTGTGAGACCAAATAAACCTCTAGTCCTTTACATTGTGGGTGCTGGATATTTCATTCCAGTGATGAGAAAATGACTCAGACAGAGAATGTTCATTATCAATAAGAGTAGAACAAAATGGAAGGTTATTTTTGGATAAGGATGTATTTAAATAAACTGTGTTTCATCCAAATTATAAATATCCTGTATCTGTTTTTAAAAAGATAAAAGGATAATGTCAATCTTTATGTAATGACAAAAATACAGTTAAGATACCTTGTACATTTTTGGAAAGCCAAGGTTTTATTTGTAGTATTGGGCACAATCTAATAAAGAATTTTTAAAATAGACTAAAGAGCTCCTGCTCTATAGAACACAATGAGGTATTTAAAAAACGCAGTAAACGTGAAATAGGAAATTGTCTATGGTTGTATTTTATTTTCCAATCTTTTATCACATTTACACATGCATGTATGCATATATATATCTGAATATTCCATATTGTTTGTTTGTTTTTCTTCCAGTACCAGGAATCGAACTCATGACCTTGTGCTTGCCAGGCAGACGCTGTGCCACTGAGCTAAATCCCCTGCCCCATATTGTTTGAATTTGTATGAGTATGCAGGATATTTGTTGTGGTACTTGGGACTGAACCTACGACTTTCACATTGAGCTATATCCTCAGCCCTTTATTTTGTATTTTAAGGGCTGGGGGTATAGCTCAGTGGCAGAAGCGCCTGCCTGTATTTTATATTTTGAGACAGGGTCTTGCTAAGTTGTCCACACTGGGCTCAAAATTGTAGTCTTCCTGCCTCAGCCTCCCAGAGCGCTGGGATTACAGGCATTTGCCACAACACACATCTGGTTATGCATAACTTTTGTAATTAAAAACAAGCTGATCACAAATAATATGCTTAACTGTGATCACATTTTTGTTAAAAAATTTTATTTCCGTGGGGTTCCTTTTATCTGTCATGTTTATTAAAGTGAAATTAACATGTAATAAAATGTATATGCTTGTCAAAACTCTTCGAATTGTACCTACAATGTAATCAAATGTAGAAGAGTTCCAAGCAGACATTTTTTAAAGTCAGAAAAGGAGTGTGTCAGAACTAGAGACTGGGATCCTAGGTGACTGTCACTTTTTTTTATTGTTGGAATGCTTATCATAGCCATTTTTCTTATCTGAAAAACGTGAAGTACCTACATTCTGGAAAAATAACAGTAATAGCAATAAGAGCCACTTTCTTGAACTGTAATTTGTTTGTTCCTTATCGCAACCTTCAGCCAGTTAGAACTTTCATTACCCACTTCATCAGTGAGGACTCTGAGGTCAGGTGGTGAGGTCCCTCTACCTCAAAGAAATTTCTAGAAGTCCAGTGGTGTGGGGGCATGCAGAGATACCTTTCTGAGGTGAAAAGTAAGTTGTTGCATCTGGTTCCCCTACAACCAAAAGAAGCACAATGCCTATGGGCCTGTTTGGATTTTGGAGGCACATTGCTGACTTAGATGTCTTACTCTGGCCCATTTACCAAGTGACTTGGAAAGCTGCTAGTTTTGAGTGGGGCCTAGAACAAGAGAAGGCTCTGGAACAGGTCCAGCTTTCTGTGCAGGCTGCTCTGCCACTGGGTCCATACAGTCCAGCAGATGCAATGGTACTTGAAGTGGCAGTGGTAGGTAGGGATGCTGTTCAGAGTCTGTGTCTAGCAGGGCCCCATAGGTGAATCATAGCAGAGGCCTTTGGGAATTTGGAGCAAGGCTCTGGCATCATCTCCAGACAACTACTCTCCCTTTGAAAAGCAGCTTCTGGCCTGCTACTGGGCCTTAGCGGAAACTGAATGCTTGACAGTGGACCCCGGCTTATCGTGACGTGAGTTGCCCATCATGAACTGGTTATTATCTGATTCACCAAGTTATGAAGTTGGATGTGCACAGGAACTTCACATGTACACCACTTCTATTTAATTCTATGTAATTCATGAAATAGAAGTGTATATGTGAGTGACTCAGAGCAGGTCCAGAGGGTACAAGTAAGTTACATGAAGAAGTTGCCCAAATGTCCATGGTTCCTACTCCTGCTATATTGCCTTCTGTCTCCCAGCATGCACTATGGCCTAACGTACCATGTGATCAGCTGTCAGAGGAAGAGAAGGATAGGGCCTGGTTTATAGATGGCTCTGCACAGTATGGAGGCACCACTTTCAAGCAGACAGCTGCAGCATTACAATCCCTTTCCAGGACATCCCAGAAGAACAGCCGTGAAGGGAAATCTTCACAGTGGACAGAACATTGTGCAGTATACCTAGTAGTACATTTTGCCTGGAGGGAAAAATGGCCAGATGTGTGACTGTATACTGACTCATGAGCTGTCGCCAATGGTCTGGCCAGGTGGTCAGGGACTTGGAAAGAACATGACTATAAAATTGGTGATAAAGATATTTGGGGAGAGGTATGCAGATAGATCTCTCTATATGGGCAAAGGATTTAAAGATATTTGTATTCCATGTAAACACTCACCAAAAAGTGACCTTAGCAAAAAAGGACTGTAATAATCAAATGGATAGGATGATTACTCTGTAGACAGCAGCCAACCTCTTCCTGCAGCCATCCCTGTCATTGCCCAAAGGGCCCGTGAACAAAGTGGTCACGGTGGCAGAATGGAGGTCATGCATGGGCTCAGCGACAGGGACTCCCACTCACCAAGGCTGATCTGGCTACACCCCTGCTGAATGCCCAGTATGCTAGCAGCACAGACCAATGCTGACTATGGATATGGCAGCATTCCTCAAGGTGAGCAGCCTGCCACATGGTGAAGAGTCGATTACGTTATATCTCTTTCATCATGTAAAGGGCAGTGCTTTGTCCTTACTGCCAAAGACAATTATTTGCCTTCCCTGTGCATAATACTTCCGCCAAGACCACCATCCATGGACTTAGAGGATGCTTTATCCACCATCATGGAATTCTGCACAGCATTGCCCCTGACCAAGCAACACATTTTACAGCTAAAGAAGTGAGTCAGTGAGCTCATGCTCATGGAATTCACTGGTCTTACCATGTGCCTCGCCATCCAGAGTCAGCTGCATGACAGAAAGGCAGGATGGCCTTTTAAAGATGCAGTGACAGTGTCAGTTTAGGTGGCAACAGGTTGGTTGCAGGGTTGGAGCGAGGTTCTTCAAACGGCTGCCCAATCTGGATCAGCACCCACTATATGGCACTGCGTCTCCCATAGCCAGGATTCATAGGCCCAGGAATCAAGGCGTAGAGTGGAATGGGACCACCCACCATTGCCCCTAGTGATCCACTAGTAAAATCTTTCCTTCTTGTTCCCATGACTTTATGCTCTGCTGGACTAGAAGTCTTAGTTCCAGAGGGGGGAAGTCTTATACCAAGAAGCACAACAATAATTCCATTAAACTGGAAGCTAAGACTTCTCCCTGGTCATTTTGGGCTCCTCATGCCTCTGAGTGAACAAGCCAAAAAGGGAGTGATGATGTTGGCAAGGGTGACTGACCTACAGTATCAACTCTACCACAGAGGAAAGGAAGAATACACTTGGGGTGTAGGAGACCCCTTAGGGCACCTCCTAGTTATTAAGGATATTGGTAAACTATAACCACCCAACCCAAGCGGGGTGACAAATGGCCCAGAACCTTCAAAAATGAAGGTATGAGTCATCCCATCAGGGAAAGAACCAAGGCCTATTGAGGGGCTTGCAGAAGGCCAAGGGAATAGAGAATGGGTAGTAGAAGACGGTAGTAATAAATACCAACCAGAACCTTGTGACCAGTTATAGAAAGGAGGACTGTAATTGTAGCTGTTTTTATTGTGTTAATATTCTTCCTTTGTAACATAATGTTGATAGATTTCATATTGGTTTTTAAGCATTATTAAACCTGTGTCATAATGTTTAAGTTATGAACTGTGAGGAGTAAGCATCACCCTAAGAATAACTCGCCTGCTATTCTGAGGAGGGAACCGGTGCATATATAGGACAGTTGTACAATGTTAGGCATGATTATGACCTTGTCCTTTTATCTGGAGGCTAAGTGTGACTTAAGAAAATGTGTCTGGTTGTCCAGTTGACAAGGGGTGGACTGTGATAGTTGGCTGCTGTGTCAGTTTGAGTAGGAAATGCCCAACTGATTGGCTTAGCATATAGTTCTGGGTGTGACCAAGTGGATTTACTGAAGATGGAAGAACCACCTGGCTATGAGTGTCACCAGCCAATAGGCTTGTAGCCTGAATGGAATCAAAAGGGGCAAGAAGGAAGGTTCATTTCTGTTTCTTTGGAAGAGCTCTAGTCTTCGCCTTCACCTGGGATGTCCATTTCCTGGCTCTTCCTTGCTCTCTGCATCTAGGCTGCTGTGAGGTAAGAAGCTCCCCCATGACCTTCAGCTACCATGTTCCTGCTTTGGATTGCTAACTATGGACTGAAACCTCTGAAACCGTGAGCCAAAATAAACCTTTTCTCCTTTAATCTGTGAATACCCTGTATTTTGTTCCAGTGATGAAAAAACCGACGAACATATCATCCTAACTCTGTTGCTGCCACCTTCACTGAAGCCTCTGAAGCCATCCCCCAGACCAGCAGTCAGCAAATGTCTTTGGTAAAGAACCATGCAGTAAGTATTTTTGGCTTTCCAGAACTCTGTCACAATTTAGCACTGACTCTGCAGCACGGAGGCAGGCATGGGTAATACATAATGAATAGCTGCAGCTGTGTTCCAATAAAACTTTATTGTAAGCATTGCAATTTAAATTTTGTATAACTTTCATGCATCACAAAATATTATTGTTCTGTAATTTTCCCAACCACTTAAAATGTAAAAACTATTCCATTTTTACAGAGCTGGCCAGATTTAGCCCATGAGATGTAGTTTGCTGACCCCTGCCCTAGAAGATGGGGCCGCCTGGATGGTGGTGTGTTTCTTACCTACCTTCTTGCCTGTGCTAGCCATTTCCTGGTGAAAAAAGCTAATGATTATCAAGTTCTTTCTACTTGCCATTCTAATCACTTGATACGTACAGTTAAGTTGGGATCCATAGCAGGCAGCTCCAGGACTCCCCACTCCACACTAAAATTAGTGAGTGCTCAAGACTCACTTATAAAACAGCACAGTGCTTGCAAAAAACCTAGCAGTCCTCTTGCATACTTGAAACCATGCTTAGATGACTTCTAACACCAACACAACGTAAATGCTACATGGAAGGTTAACTAGTATTTAGAGAATGATGACCAGGCAAAAAGTCTGGACATGTTCAGTACAAAAGCAATTATTTTCCAAATATTTTTGACCCATGGTTAGCTGAGCCCATGGACGTAGAACCTGCAGATACACTAGTCAACTGCACTATGGATCCTTAGAATCATCCAAAACACCATGTTACAGATGAGGAAACTGAGGCACAGTGCGGTTCAAATAACTTAAAATCCTCCACTATCTGCTCAATGCTCTCAGATAAAAAGATCAAAATGCTTCATTGCTTAACATGCCCAACAAAACCCTCTGTGATTCACCCTTCCAGCTAGGCCTCCCCGACTTCCCTCCTTCCCAGCAGGTCGCCACGGGCTTCTCTGAGTCCTTTCAACGTGTTGTCTGTTACCCACATGGGCTTCAGGGGATGCTTCAGTGTGTATCAACTGCTTTCATCACCCCCTTCCTGGTGCGGGCTCTTCTCAGATCTGTCCAAAGTCAAGGCCCCTGCTCTGTCGTTTTATAGAACAGCCTTTCATGGCACTCAGCACAATACGCAGAATTATTCATTGTCTAACTACTTGCTTTGTCTGTGTCCCCGGCAACCCGCATGTTGGTCAGCACATAATCAGCCCTTAGTAAATAGTGAAAGAAGGAAGGGGAGGAGGAAGAGAAGGAAGAGCAAAGAAGGGAGGGAGGGAGACGGGGAAGGAGACAGGGAGGGAGAAAGGGGTGATTTGCTCAGAGTTACAAAGCTTGTGAAGGGCAGAACAAGAGTTCTAGCGCAGTTCAGTCTAACTCCAAGGCCAAAGCTCTGACACCTGAGAAACTAAATGTTTCCAGGGTAAATGCTTTGGGGAGGAAAGAAGGAGCGTTATAATGACAGAATTACACAGGATGACGGCGTGAACCTGGACACAGGTCTCCCAGCTCCGCCACCTCTCCAGCTGCATGCGCCCCACCCCAGCATCCTCCCTGCAGGGCTCCAAACCATGGGTCCCCAGAATCTCACCCGGGCTTGAAGAGGCTGGCCCAGCCAGGGATGAACTTGGGGTCCCGGGTGAAGAGGAGGATGGCAAACATGCAGAACAGGGTGAAAACGGCCCGCTCGGCAAAGCTGTGACACAGAGAGGCAGTCGCCTGGTGACCGTGGGCTCCAGCTGACCTCTGCAGCAGGACGAGGGCTCAGGCCACGACCAACTAGGCCCAGGCCCCACCTCTGAAGAAGCTGAAAAGAATCATTCACTCCCAGGTCCTCTCCTCCCCTCCCCCAACTCTTTCTCTCATGAGCACAGGGGATTTGCCAGGGTCCCATGGAAGACCAAGAACAAGAAAGACACAGCATAGGAGACAGACACAGAGGAAGGAAAAGCAGGGAGAAAAGGAGACTAACAAAAGGAGGCAGAGAGAGAAGCAGAGACACACAGAGATAGACAGACAGACCTATTCAGAAGGGGACAGATGGGCACACCAAGAAAGATATACACAGGGCGCAGACATGGACAGAGGGTGTACAGTGGTCAAGAGAGAACCCTTAAGGGCTGGAAGGAATAGCTACCCAAATGCATCCATTTCATAGATTGCAAAATAGAGCCCAGAGAGGGTTAGTATCCTGCCCAGTGCCTCACAGGAAGGAGTGGTAGAGCCATTCTTTGAACTCAGGGCTCAGTCTTAGTTATTTTTATCTACATGGGAAACATGCAGAGCCAGGTGCTAGGAGCCATCAGAGACTGTGTCAGACACCCCACGCACAGGGAGGAAAGGGTGCCTAGATGGGAAGGTCAGATGCCCATTCCAAGGACACTCTGAGGGACTTTACAGTGCTCAAGGTATCTACGTGGGCACCAGGCTGGTTGGGTGAGTCAGCTACCACCCTCCATCTCAGTGCCAGGCATGGGTGCTCAAACTCCCCTGCGGCTCACAAGGGACGGACCAGGAGGTAGCTCCCCTAAACACAGAGTACCCAGCTCTTCCCCTGCCCCAAGACGTTCACACACCTGATGGGCCCCAAGCTCTGGAATTCTTCCCGAATCATAACTCGAGCCTTGTCTTCTGCATCCCCTCTGATTTCTGATTTCTTCTTTCTCCAGCCCCTGGAACAGAAACCAGGAGGTCTGTAGTGTAGTGTCCCTGCAGGTGCGGCTGACTTCATACACACACACACACACACACACACACACACACACACACACACACACACACACACACACCCCGCCAGCCACATCTGACACCTGGGCTCCTGCCACTGCCTTCCCTTTCTAGAACTGTCCCCACCTGTAACCTGTCTGACCTTTTAAAAGTGTGATCAATCATATGACTCCCAGGCTTAAAAACCCCTAGTGGGTCAGCAGTCTTGCGAATAAATAAGCAAATCCACGGAACAAACTAGAGTCTAGGAATAGACTCCATCACTAGTGGGAATTTAGATGGTACCTCAGGCTGATGTGGAAAAGTGGTAAATGGTGTCAGCCACACAGATGAATGGAACAGACCTGTGTTTATCACTTCCTGACGGGTCCATACCTCTGTGGTCAATTGATTTTGGACAAGAATCCGGATGATTCCGTGGGGAAGGAATAGTCACCAGCATATGGGGCTAGCACACCTGGATACCCATGTGCAGAAGAATGAATTTGGGCTTCTACCTCATCCCATATACAAAATTTAACTCAAAATGAGCTAACAACCTAAACATAAGAGCTAAAGCCATAAAACTCTGGGCAGAAAACACAGAGGTAAGTTTTCACAGCCTTGGATTGGGCAAAATTTCTTAGACAGAACACCAAAAGAACAAGGAGCCAATGATAGAAAAAATAAAATCTCAAAATTTTAAAAGCCTGTGTGTCAATAAACGGTGTTGGGGAGAGCACGTGCCTGAAGCTAGAGTCAAGCGTCACACTTTGAAAAGAATTTTATGTGGGAAAAGGCACCATAAGGAAAGTCCAAAGACAAATCAATGAAAACATTACAACTCATATTACAGAATAAGTGCTAACTCTGCCAACATAAAGGGTCTGAGATTGCTAAGCGTGGTACTATAGTGCCTGACTGCCACCACTTCGGGAGGACCGGAAATTCAGGCCCAGCCTGAGTAATAGTCTCAAAACGATTTTTAAAGAAGGACATAAGCACATAGTTTAACAATTCACAGCAGAGGAAACACTGTGGTTTCCAAACATGAAAATTTGCTAAAAATTCCTCATGATAGATACAAATTATTTTTCCCTTAGAATGACAAAGACCCACTTTGCTGCAGGAAAACAAACCCTCTCGTACACTGTAAGTGGGAGAGCCAACTAGCACAATTCTGATGGACAATGCACAGCATCTCCTGAAATAAAAATGTACTCATGCTCTGACCCAGAAATTCCACCTCTGTGAACAGCCTTTAAAAATGCCTACTAATATACAAAAGCTGCCAGGAAGAGCAGTCACCAGGGAAATACATTCGTGTCTGCCTATACTTGCTTAAGCAAACTCTGGAAGATTACCCTAGATACATTTTAGAAGGAATATTTTAGGTAAATGGGCTGATGTGGGCGTGGTTGGGAAAAAGAATTCTCACTACATACTTCTTTGTTTCTTTCTTTTTTTTTTTTTTCAGTACTGGGGATAAAACTCATGGTGTTGGCACTGAGCTACAACCCCATTCTTTTTTATATTTTTTTATTTTGAGACAGGATCTCATTAAATAGATTAATTGTTCAGGCTGGGCTCAAATTTGAGCTCCTCCTGCCTCAGCCTCCCAGAATTCTGAGATTATAGGTGCACATCATCATGTCTTGTTATTATTCTGGTTTTTGAACCATACGTGTGCATGTGTTGTTTATCTAAATTAAATAAACAAATGAATCTTTTTAAAAAACTCACAGTTTTTAACTGTGACTGTGTGAAGTTAAACTCCTCTAAAATCTGACTGTGTGAAGTTAAACTCCTCTAAAATCCACAGAGATGTAACTCAATTTCTCCTCCTCAGCACTATTTACAGGTGGGGCCAGATAACTCTTAGTTTTGGGGAACCATCTTGTGTATAATTAGAATATTAGCAGCACCCCTGGCTTCTACCTGCTAGATGTCACAGTTATTTCCTCAGTTGAAAAAACCAAAATGTCCCCCAGCATCACTAAATGTCCCTTTAAGGCAGGCAGAGCAAAATAACCCCGAGTTTAAAACCCCCATCTCCTTCCCTGGCATCATCTCCCACAAATTTTCATCCCAAGGAAAGGGTGGCCTTGACCTTTCAGTTCTAGAACAACCCTTGCTACCTCTGGCCTTAGGTCCTTTGCACTTGCTGTCCTAACTCCCTGGAATGGTTTTCTTCATCCCTAGCTCTTTCCTTCCCTTTCCTGAGTTAAGTCTGTTCATTGTTCCTATCTCAGTCAATCCATCAAAACTTCTCCCAACTTCCCAGGTAAGGTGAGAGACCTCCCAGCGCACAGTTCCCACTGCATGCGCTGCTAACCTACTGTATTTAATGGCTCCTGGTCAGTCTGTGTAGGGTGCAGGCCCCCCAAGGGGAGTGCACTCTCTGCCATTGCAGAACCTCACCACTTGTCAGCCACTAACAGGACTCACAGGTATTCGCTGGGTGCAGATGGGGCCGCAGGACTGGCCAGAACTTTCCCGTCACCCACTCAGCAGCACCTCTCCCTGGGCCCCTCTGCCTGCATCTTCTCCCTTGTGGCCTCCTTGAGGCCGGGTTCTACAGGTGCCACCAGAACGGGTTGCTGAGACAAAGGGACGCTGGCCCCGGCCCTTCCTGGACAGCCCACACGCTCCCCTCACTTCGCTGTTACCTGAGCCCGAGCTAATTTCTTTTCTCAATCTACAAGCGGGGAAATTAAAGAAGTTAGAGACTCGGGGTGTTGCAAAGTGTTCAAGGTCGCACGGAGCTGTGACCTGAACCCTGGTCCATCTGAGCCCCATGATTCGGGCTGCTTCCATGGGCACTGTGTATTCCAATCACCCTTTGTATTTTCCTCCAAACAGACTCCCTGCTTTAATTAAAGGCATGTTTTAAAATAGAAAACTGTATATCCCACCCCTAACTGGAAAGTAAGGATCACTTATAATAAGTAGAAAGTAACCGCAAGAACAAATCCGTGAAAGCAAAGCACGAGAGCTACATTTTGGCTGGACACATCACCGGCTTAAGGGTCGGGGGCTGCAGCTTGCTCTTCCTTTGCTCAAGGGGCTGGCCGGGAAATGTCAGAGATGTCAAGTTTCCTCAAACATCCACCCAGCTGAGACTTTCTACTCAGTGTGAGCAAGTGTAGTTCATGACGCAGTAAAGGATTGCTTTCCCACTGTACGACTTGGTACTGTTTCATACCTTGCCCTCATAGCACACCAAGTTATCCAGGTCCCCATAAAATGGGAAGCCCTGCACTCCCCTCTCTGCCAGTCATATGTGTTCACCTTACTTGGAGAAGGATGCTATCAATAATTATTAATGACGGGAGATGTTACCGGAGGGCTTGGGTGAGGCGAGCAGGCCATCCGCCCTCCTCCCATAAGCCTCACATCCCTGGGGGTCAAGACTTCAGCATAGGGCTTGGCATCATGACAGGGACAGCCATCCTTGGTTTCTGAGGAGGCCACCCCAGTCATTCAGGCTGCTTGGAGGCCTGGGCTGTGCCCCCCAACCCCAGCCTCGCCCGGGAAGCGGAGGAGAGGTACCTGCAGCTCAGCCCCCCGTAGAGGAAGGAGATCCAGAGCCAGCCCACCAGCAGGAACAGCAGCATGAGGGGGAAGGCGAAGATGAACCAGGAGCCGAAGTTTACCACGTCACACTGCGGAAAGAAACTGGGGGACAGAGCGGGTGAGGGCGGACCACGGTCAGCTGGGGGCGGGTGGAGAGCGGGCCAGGCCCCTGGGTGTCAGGGAACAGTGTGACCCAGTTGCCCTTTGCTCTTCCTCAGGGATGCTGGACCTGACCCTCTGCAACCGTGAGTGCCATCTGTACCCTGGGGACTTTCTACTCAACACGGGTGCCTAAGGGAGCAAAGAGGCCAGGCTGGACCCTGGTGGTTGACAAAATGATGTACACAAAAGTATATGGACATAGGGCTGGGGATCTAGCTCAGTGGCACAAGTGCCTGCCTGGAAAGCACAAGGTCCTGAGTTCAATTCCTGGTATCAAAAGCAAAAAGTACATGGACACAAACACAGACATTTCTAACTAAGTAAGTGAACAGCCAAACATTGAAGACACAAGCAAATGAACAAACAAAATATTATAAACAGTATAATGGGATTTTGAGAGATTTTTTCTTTTTTTTTTTATCTGTATTTTCTACAATGAATAAGTATGTCTCTGTAATTAGACAAAAAAGAAAAATATTGCTTTAGAAAAGCAAAATATTAATAGATATATGGTCAGTCACATAATTCATAACAGCAAAATAATAAAATGAAAGCAGTAGAAATGTCCATGACTTATAAAGTATGACACTTACCTAAAACAGATTAATTTATAGTTATAAAAATATTATGTTTTCTATAAATTTTGTTTGTTATAAAATTATAATTTTAAAATCCTGCCATAAAACCATATATACAGTATGGTAACAACATTAAGTATATACATATACACACACACAAATATTTAATATATGGACAAAGAACAGTTTAAAGGAAGTCTGCTGTCAGTGGGACAGAGGGTACTTCAAACTCTTCACTTTTTCTATGCTTTCTAAGTATTTAATAACATGCCCATATCATTTTATAGTCAGAATAAATCAGAAAAATGGCCTTTGGGACCAAGGGTCAAGGACCTAGGGTGGTCATTTCCCCTGACTCCTACCCCAGGTCTATTTGGTTCTCAGATGGAGAACCAAAGCCACAGATTACCTGGGACTCTTTCTGTGTGAGTGAGTGAGTGAGTGTGTGTGTGTGTGTGTGTGTGTGTGTGTGTATAGGGGTACTAGGGATTGAACCTAGGTCCTTTGCACTGAGCTATATCCTCAGCCCTTTAATTTAACTTAATTTAATTTTTTTACTTTGAGACAGTCACTAAGTTGCCATCCTGGCATTGAATCTATGACCTCCCTGTCTCAACCTTCCAGGTTGCTGAGGTTACAGGCCTGCACCACCATGCCTGGGTCTGGAATTCCTCTTGAAGCCCTATTTCCATACTAAAAGGCCCATGGGCTCCACTAACTGTGGCATACGGGTTGCATGTAATTTATTCAGAATCCTACCTATCTGGCATTTTCCCTTCGTACCTCAGTGCTTGCTTCTTAATCTCTTTTCAGGTTGGCACAAGGTCCTGCTGCCCTCGGGATGGGCAGGCAGCCTGAAAACCTAAGATAGCACCTGCCCCCGCCTAGGCCCTGTCCTGTACCCCTAGAGCCCGCAGTCTCCTGCACAGCCCTGGGATGGGCATCAAACACCCAGCCTTTCCCTGCAGGAAATTGAGGAAAGGAAGGGTCAGGCCTAGACTCTCCCCAGCCCTTCAGCAGGAGCGTTCCGGCTTCTGGTTTTTCTGTGCTAACCAAAATCACGAGGCACAGCCAGGCCTCGTTCAAAGAGTGGAGACTCAAGACACTTGAGGCTTGCCGTAAAACCCCGTGCGCTTAAACCAACAGGGAAAATATGGCGCTCAGCCCCGCCCCACACCTCCTGAATCAGAATCTCAGTAAGGGAAGCCCGGGCTTTTTTTTTTTTGTCTTTTTGAGACAGGGTCTTACTATGCAGTTCAGGCTGGCCTTCAGCTCACTTTGTAGCCCAAGCTGGCCTTGAATCTGCTACTGTTTTTTTTTTTTTTAACCTCCTTTGATTCCAACAGGCATGAGGGGCTGAGTGTAGGAACTTTCTCATATCAAATCTCAAAAATCAAAAAATTCACCTTACCCAGCATTCAGGCTTTAAAATCAGCACATGCGGCCAATCGTGGGTGCCCCAAACACTCATGAAATAATTTCAATTCCCCACAAATCCCTTTCGAGAGATCACCAGGACCCGTTCTCCAGTGTCGCCCCTGGTTTTGACTCTTTGACTGAGCACCAGGTAGAGAAGTTGCCGCACCGAATATCAGATAGTTTTGGTTACTGTTCGCCAAATGGGTCCATTTGCGCTCATGCAAATTAAAGACCATATTCTACTGCATCCCCACTTGGAAAGAGCCTTAGGAACCAGCCTCCCAGAATCCTGGAATCTGAACTTCCTGGGTAGAATCTGGAAATTTTAAGTTCTAGAAACTAAACTCTGGGAGAAAGGAAAGAAGTCCTGCAGCGGGAGAATCCTCTCGTGTCGCCACCCCCGACTTCCAGCAGCCCAGTCACTGCCTGAACGCTTGCGGCACGTGCAGATCACTCCCTGGCAGAGGGCACCGCCATGCAGGGCCCTAATAAAAGCCAGGAGGCTTCTTTCAGGTCATTTCAGACACAAACCAAAGTCTCCAGCTGGAGTTCGCTTCTAAAGCACCAGGTTGCCACTGCTCTCACCGCTTGGAGGGAAGGCAGGCGTCTTCAGATGCTGCATGTGTCACCTCACCTCCTCTCCCTTTCCCTCACTTATCTATGCCAGCCCCCCAGTAGGTGGGGTCTTACTGTGTTGTCCAGGATGGTCTCCAGGTTGCGGGCACAAATGATCTGCCTGTCGCAGCCTTCCGTACCTGGAACTAAAGTGTGCATCTCCATGTCCAGTTTTCCTTGGTCTCCCTGCTGTTCCTGAGACTCCCCAGGAACAGTCCCACCTGAAACCCTTTGCATTCACTTTTCCCTGTCTGACATGCTCTTCCAGCCTGTGTCCACAAGCTCATGTCCTCACTTCTCAGTCTCTGCTCAAATGTCACCTCTGCAGAGGGGACGGAGCTTACCATAGGACCCTGGTCTTGTCACTTCTTCCTTCTCACCCTGCTTTATTTTATTTCCTAACTGCCGCACACATACATCTATTCATTTGCCTTTTCATTTATTGCCGTTTGCCCCCAGGAGAATGGAAGCCCTCTGTGAGCTGAGATTTGCTCGGCGTCCTTGGCACAGAGTCCCCGGATGGGGAGGGAGGGAAGCGAAGAGGAACCTCGGGCAGGCCGGCGGGGACCCTTGCTCTCACCTCTTGAGCTGGCCCAGCAGGATGAGGTTGGGAGCGGTGCCTGTGAGGGTGGCGGTGCCCCCGATGCTGGCCGAGTAGGGGATGGAGATGAGGAAGCCCTTCCAGACGTTCCTGTGGTATTCCTCCTCCTTCTTGGAGTCAGCAAGCAGATCCAACGGCACCTCCGCCTCCTCAGGGTGGCCTCTGCTTTCAAAGGCCCAAAGGGAATCCATTTAGAACTCAGTCAGAACCTCTGGCCTCCCACATATACGGGCCACACACTCTGCTCAGGGTTATGGAGCCAAGGGGTCTTTCTAGAAGTAAAGTGGGCACAGGTACAGAAAGGCTTCATTTCCACTGCTCTACCTGAGAATTTACCCCAGAGAAATAACAAGGCGGGTGTTGCAGGTGTGGGCACAAAGGCACCACCATGGTACGAAACATAATTTTTAAAATAAAAAACATGGGCCGGGGATATAGCTCAGCGGCACAGCGCTTGCCTGGCAAGCACGAGGTCGTAAGTTTGATCCCCGGTACCAAAAATAAATAAATAAATGACAACCTAAACATCTATCAAAAAGGGATTGGCTGCCAGGTGTGGGGGTGCATGCCTGTCATCCCAGCAAACTGGGAGGCTGAGGCAGGTGGATTGTAAGTTTGAGTCCAGACTGGGCAATTTATGAACTTAGTGAGACCCTGTCTTGAAAAGGTGTGGGGTGGGGTGTAGCTTAGTCCAAAGCCTGGGGTTCAATCCCTAATAACCCCACACACAAAAGGATAACTCTCCGGGTAGATTGCCGATACAATTACTTAAAAGGATGGCTTCAGTGGGTGCTTTATAAGATGGGAGGTGTAAGTGAAGGTATCAGTATTATTTAGGATGTTATTTCTTAAATATTCCTGTTTCAAGTTGTTTTGGTGTGAAGTTATGGACATTTTCCTCCTTTAATTCTTTATTTGAAGTTTGGGGGTTGTATTTCTTATACAGTTAGCTTTGAGGAAACATGAAATTAAGAGTTATTAATTATATCACTAAGAGATCATGACGTTGACCTGCAGTTACTGAGGTGAAAAGATGTTCCCTGCACTCCGTCAAGAGACAGAGCAGGTTAGAAAACTGTACATAGCGTGGCCAGGTTTTAAAAATTTTCAGAGATGCAATAATACGTAGAGATACCAAGAAATCCCCTAGAATAGTGTTCACTTCATGGCTTCAACCAGGGTGAGAGACGCTGAGCACATTTTTCAAGAGTACTTTTTGACTTGTGCTATCATAAACTATTTCTAAGCAGATAAAATTAAGAGCTGCTATAAGTGTGTGAAGCAGTGGATATATTAATTAGCTGGACTATGGTAATCATTTTACAATATATATGTATTTCAACACATCACATCACATTGTATATGAATATACTACTTTGTCAGTTATACTCCATGAATCTGGAAAAGAAATTAAGATGAAAACCAGAATTGCTTCCACGTAACAAAACAATTTTTAAAAATTATTTTTTAAGAATAAAGATAATTCAAATACTTGCTGGCCACATAAGGGATTTCTCCCCAGAGGTCAGCGGGGACCTGACCTGTGATCTGAGCAGTCGGTTTCCAGCCTGAGGGAAGGCGAAGCCTGGGGCAGCTGGAAACCAAGGTCATGGTCTGACTTCTTAGGGTTGAGAGCCCCGGGCAGGAGCTGTGACGGCCTCGCAGCTGGGGTCCCCACCAGACCGAGCCTCAGAAGGAGAAGGAGAGGGTGGAAAGGGCCCTGGAGTTCATCTCGTACAATCTCTACTTTGTTCAGATGGGAAAACTGAGGCCCAGAGCGGGGAAGGGGTCTGCACCTAATGAACAGAGACCTCCAGAGGGTAGGGTCTAGGTCTTTTTCAATAGCCCCAGCACAAGGTCTGCATGGGCAGATGTTTAAAATATATTCCTAGGTCACATAGTGCCGAGTGATTGGTCCAATCTCAGAATCCATGTCTCAAAGTTAGATTTAAAGCCTCCAAGCATGGTGGCAGGAAGGAGCACTGGCCATGGGGTACACCAGACATAAGGTCTTGTCCCTCCTCATTGGCTGCCATTGCGTTCAAAGTCAAGGCTACAGTGATGGCCCATGAGGGCTCAGATGCTCGGTGCCTCCACCAATGGCTTCCTGGGGAGCTCTCTGCACCCTCAGGAATGTTGCATATGCCCGTCCCTCTGCTGAGAACACTCTTTCCCCATAGCCCCCCACTTCCTGCAGGGGTTTGCTCAGGCTCCACCCTCCTGGGAGCCCTTCCCTGACCACCCATTTTAAAGCTGATTTTCTCATCCTTCCACCTACTGCCCTAGCCCTCTGCCTGCTTTGTGGCCCACCTCGGGACTCCTAAGTTCCTTTGTCCCTAGAGCATAAGCTCCATAAGCAGTGGGAGGTTTTTTCTGCCCCTTGCTGTATTCCCTGCACCTGGACCCGAGCCTGGCTCATCACAGGCCCTCAAGCAAAATGTGTTGAGTGAAGGAAACAGACCCAGTTGAGGCCCAGCACTGCCTTTAGCAGATCACCTTGCAGCCTGCTGTTCATCACTGTTAAGTGGAAGAAATGATGCTTAAGTAACCCAAGCCACTAGCTGTAAATAAGGCCCATGTTTTATCATGTTATCTCATGGGCCCTCGAAGCAGCCCTCTAAGGTGGGTCCCAGTGTCACGCCCAGCTGCAGGTGAAGGCTAACCGGAGGTTAAGTGACTTGTCCAAGCCACACAGGCAGGGGGGCCAGAGTTCCAAGTCAGGTCCTCGTGACTCCAAGCAAAGGTCGTGGCAGACTAGTGAACATCCATGGGAAGATGTCACATAAGTGTGGACTGTCACTGGACCGCGGGTCTTTTTGTCTTTAAGTGCAGTGAGTGCCCTCCTGCTGTCCTGCATCCCTCCTTGCGAGAAGAGCTCCAAAGCCCCTCAGCCTCAGTGGAACCTCTGGGGTTCAACGTGTCCCCCACCCTTCCTTCAGGGGACTTGTTAGAGGAGGCCCTAGAGGCTTACGTCCAGGTCACAGGGGCAAATCACGGACACCTGGGCACTGGATCGTTTGGAGAGAAACTCCGGCTGGGAGCGGCTGCTGCAGACCACTCTTCTCGTCCATCTCCTTGAACCACGTGGGGCCCCTCCGTCCATCCAGCGGGAACTTACCCCTCTGCGTGTGTGCTGGCCAGAAACTGAGTCTCTGTGGGCGCGGTGTGCAGCCCGTTCCCCCGCACGGCGCCTGGGGAAAGAGCACCAGGGCTTTAGCGCAAGGCGGCGAAAGGGACGGGAGAGCCCAAACTGCTGTGCAGCCGGGCAAGACTGCGTTCACTGCCGAGAACCCCGCACTGTCCACAGCGCAGGAAAAAGAAAACAGCAGCAGGTTGGGGTGTCGGGAGGAGACCACGCACGCAACATTCCATCCTCTTGTCCCACCATCCATCCACCTCTGGAGGCAGCCCCAGGCCTGTGGGCAGGGAGCAGCCCCAAAGCAGCTATGGCCAAGGGGATAATTGGGGCAGATCAGCTGGCTGAAAATGGGTCAGCAGTGGATGGGAAGAGTGATCTCCATTGCCCATTCATTAATGCACCCGAGGCAGCACTTGCAATGGGCTATGGCCTCGGGGTACTCAGTGAACAATGTACGACAAGGTCCCTGCTTCCCATATTCTAAAAAGGGAAACAAGCAATAGATGACTAAAGAAAATTTCAAGGAGTGATGAATGTTACGGAGGTAATAAAACTGGGGATTGTGATGGAAAATGAAAAGCGAGGATAGCAGATGAACTACTGCCACTAGTCAGGTCACTGTGGACTGATAGCATCTCATCTGAGACCTCAGGGTAGAAAATAGCCAGTCATATGGTCTGAAGACCCATGGGAGCAGTTCCAGGAAATAGGAACAGCAAGTGCAAAGTCCCTGTGGTAGGGGAAAACTAGGCAGAGTTGAGGAAACTAGGAATTCCAGTAAGTGGGGAAGTAGAAAGTCAGGAGGACTTGGGGGGTGAGGGGGAGAGAAATGAGGTAGGCAAAGGTCAGCAGGGGCCAGATCAGGTACGAGGATTCCCTGCAGGATTTAGTGCCCAAGAGGGATGGTATAACTTTTGCAAATCTCTCCAGGGTTGAAGAGAAGGATGGACTGCACAGGGGTGAAGAGTGGAAGCCAGGCACCCAGTGCAGGCTCTCATCCATTTTCCAACTATGATGATGGTGGCTGGCTTAGGCTGGTGACCACAGAGATGTTAAGAGTGAATGATTTACGGCTATGGTCCCATTCTTCTTTGGAGATAAGAGCTCAGTGCCACTTGGGGTCACACAGACTCTAGCAAATCAATCCATTAAACCACCTTGTGAAGTGTGACTTGTGTGCCTGGGACTAAGTGATAAGACATGAAAATCCATGTCCTGTGGGGCTCGTCTTCCAGGACAGAATATGGACCACAGATGGGTATAATGAGGTATGCTGTGTCAGATGCAGGCAGGCATCACAGGGAGCATTAAAGCAGGAAGGGGACAGCATTTTCAAGAGTTCTGTCATCTAACAGAGACCTGGAGGAGGTCAGGGAGTGAGGCAAGCAAACACCTGGGACAGTGAAGAGCATTGGCAAAGGCCCTGAGGCAGGAGCATGCCCAGTGCGCTGGGAAGTGGGAACTGTGGGGCAGGAGGGGCCAAGAAGGAGACTAAAAGAGGTGAGGGGGCAGCAGCAGGGGTGTCAGGAAACAGGGTGAATCATGCAGGGGTTTTGGGGTTCCAAGAGAGGACTTTGACTTCTCTGAGTCAGGTGGGAGGCAGGGTAGCGTTTGAGCAGAACAGGCTGGGACAGGATTTGACTTCATTTCCAAAATGTCCTTCTGCTTATAGACCAGACCCCCTCTTTTCTTTTATATGGGATTTTTCCTCCTAGAAATCAGTCTTTGACAGTGGTTTTACATAAGAAAAGTGGAATGAGTTAAACATTTCTGTGGCTGGAACCACTGCGAAGGATCAAAGAATCTACCCTACAGAACTAAACATGTGACCCTGGGATCAGATCAGCTCTCTCACTTACTAAGTGGTCTCCGACCAGTGGTTCCCATCCAGGGCCAATTCCACCCCGAGGGACCTTGGGCAATGTCTGGAGATATTTTTGATTGTCACGACCACGGAAAAAGGGCACCCTCCCGGCATCTATTGGTGTGAGGCCAGGAATGAAGCATCCTCTAGTACTCAGGCCAGCCTGCCTCAGCGAGAAATTCTCCCACCCAAAACGTCAAAGGTGCTGAAGTTGAGAAACACTGGCTTAGGTAAAAATCTTTAATCTCTCTGTGCTTCAAATTTTTAGTTCCTAAAAACAGAAGTAACAGTTCTCCTGGGACTTCACCAAGAGGATGAAAGTCAACCACCACAAGCAGGGACCAGGCCCTGGCTGGAGTGCAGTGGTAGAGCATTTGCCTATTATGTTTGAGGCATGCGTGCACTCACACACACACACATATTAGTAGTAATAATAAATAAAGCAGAGACCGGCAAAATTCTCCTGTAAAAGGCCAGGTAGTAAATTTCTCTGGCCTTGGGGGCCCCGTGATCACTGGGCTAACTCCCCAGCTCTGCCATTGCAGATGGATGATATGTAAACAGTTTGGGCTCTGGGGTTTGAATTTCCTGTAATCTCCACGTCACAAAACAATTTTCCTTCTTTTGACTGATTTTAAACCTTTAAAAATATTAAAAACTCCTTTTAGCTCACTAACTGCACCAAAACAAACAGTGGGCCGGATTTGGCGGGCCAAAGACCTTGATGAAAGTTGAGTGCTGGTAAAGATTCCATCAATGCCGTCACACCTGAGAGAGAAGTCAAGGCAGCAGCCGGCGCCCCAGACTGCTCCCAACCTCCCAGACAGGCCGCGCGGGTCTCCAATGGACCTCAGCAATCTACGGAGCGCCAGACGCAGACACTGACAAACACCACAGCACAAGGCAAGACCGCTTCACCATCTCACCTCAGTGCAAGGCCCCTGTACCAAATGCTGAGCGCCCCCTCTGTTGCTCTGTAAATAACCACTACTTCCTGACCAGGCATAGAATAGCCCTTGATTTCCGGCACCGGCCAACCTAGAGCCGCCCTGGCTCCCACCAGCCTTCCTGCATGTGACCCCCGAAGCCCCAGACTTCTCAGAGTTCTTGTTGATACCTTCCCGCTGAGACCCTCTAGGTTCTCTGAGGAATCAGCTATCACTCCCACTGCAATGAAAAATAAATTCCACTCATGCAGCCATGTTCTCTGGGGACCTGTGCCTGAAGGACATTGATACTCTGAAGGAGTATCAAAGCTCTAGCAGGGAACAATATAGTTTGATCTTTTCTTTTATTTTTTAAATTTTTTAAAATTAATGCTACTGGGAATCAAACTCAGGATCTTGCACTTACCAGGCAGGCACTTGTGCCACTGAGCTAGATCCCTGGCCCAATCTTTTCTTTTATATGGGATTTTTCCTCCTAGAAATCAGCCCACATACTCAGCCACATGGCCTAGGAGGAAGGGTCTCAGCCCAAGCCTCGGCTCTTTCCCTGTCTCAGTGGCTTAGGGAAGTCCATCCCCAAACTTTGTTGCAATTTTCCTGTTGGTACCAAGAGGGAACAGGATTTCACGATGGCTGGCGGTGTCATTTTTGCTGTGTCTGGTGCCAGCCTTGCTGACCACCAGCCAGGTCTGAAGGCTGACAGTCAGGTCCGCTTACCCTGGGCCGTGTGGACAAGAACCTCCAGGTTCAGGTGACAGGAACACATGTCTACATGCGGTACACAAGACTCACGCCCAGGGCACTGAAGCAAGCAGCAAAGGGCTGTTAATAGCACACTGAGGGCTGCAGGGCAAAGTCGCTCCGCAGGGGATGGTCCTACAGGAAGAACTCTGGCCTAGTGACCCCAGGACTCACCCATCTCTACCTCACTCTGCCCTTCCCAGCTGGAAGTTCGCCAGCACCTCAGGTAAAACCCCCCACCAAACTCCTCAGCCCCACCTGCACTGGGTTCCACTCAGAGGGTCTATTGGTGGCTCTGGAATGGGGCAGGAACCTGGGCATTTTTGAAAATTTCTGCAGGTGCAGCCGGGGTTGAGTGTAACTCACCTGAAGTTACGGATGGGGAAACCGAGGCTCTTGGAAGGTGGGTACTCCCCAATCTGCCTCATCCATGGACCCTTGCCCCTCGCTGCCAGCAAATGAGATGGAGAGGGCACTACCAGACAGCGGACAGTGGAGGGGTACTGGCACACACACGGTGGGCAGTGACCAGCTTAGCACAGAAGATGGGCAGAGGGAGCTTCACTGCCCCTTTACAAATCAGTAACGTGACCGCATTTTATCCCAGGCATTATTCTCCTAATGATATAAAGGCAATGGAGATGAAATGGAAAAATTAGGACAACCAAGGCAAGCGCTCTTAACCATTTACCCAGGGGTCCACCTCTGGGATTCCTGTGAGCACGGTGGCCTGAGAGACCATGCAGAAGCAGGCTGGTGGGGCAAAGTCTCCAGAGAGACTTCTCCGGGTCCAGAAGTTGCAGGTCAGTCCAGAGCTTGGGCTTATGTAAGAGCTTATTCAAATCACACGGATTCTTGAGGCTGTATCAGGTGGGAGCCTTGTCTGTGGGCACTTTCACATTTGCAAGCTCACAAGCACACTGGAGCAGTCTTGGGGAGTCGGGCTAGGTTTACTACCTTCTTAGGGAAACTGAGGTATGAAGAGGCAGGTCAAGGTTGGGGTCAAGAGGACCTGGTGGGTTAGTGGCAGAGCCAGGCTACACCCACATTTTTTTATCTTCTACCTCTGAGTCTCACCTCATCTCCAAGGCGCCCACCTGGCACTTAGTAGGTCTGTCCTATAATGACCCTCCCAGTATAACAGAAATAGCTTTCAGTTTGACACACAGAAGGCTGAGAAAGAGAGTGTGTTCTTGTGTCAAAGTAGGTAAAGAGCAGCGCAGGGAAGATCAAAAGCCCCACATTAGGCAGGTTAATCTATTGATTGCTCTACTGATTGATCTGGCACACACAGCACCCTACTCCTACTTTACAGGTGAGGAAAGAGTCTGGGGGTGGAATAGCACAGCGAATGGAGAGCGAAGGAGAACAATGTTTAATCCAACCTGAAAGCCAGCTTTGTGAACGGTTGCCCCTCGGACATTCCTACGCAGCCATCGACAGCGTGCACGGGTGGCCTTCTTTGGGCAAAGGAAAGCAGGGGAAAGATTTCAAAGCCAGGGGGCCCCTCACTGGCTGAGGAGCACTGGGCAGATCACCACTTGGAGCATCATTTCTTCCTGTGTCGTGGCAGGATGAGAACAGCGCCCCCTGCAGGTGGGGGGCGTGGTGCGAGCATGCGTACGGAATGACACCACCACTCAGGTGACCGTGCGGAGCACAGAACCGAGGACAAAACCAGAGAGAGGTGCGGGGCTGCCCTGCCTGGACGAGCACGTCTGGGGTCTAGTCCAGCAGCACCCCAGCCCGGCCTCTGCTCCCCTCTGTGCCAGAGCACACAACATGGTGTCCACAGCACCAATTCTGGGTTTCCACAAGGCTCAGGAAATCGTTTCGCCTCTCTGTGCCTCAGTCTCCTCATCTGTAAAATGAGATCACTTGCATCTCAGTGCAGCTACGAAGAGTAACGCGTGATGAGCAGGAGACACCAAGCAGAGTATGGCCTAGGGGGGTCTTCAGAAAGGCGTAGCTCAGACTAGGGTGGCTGTGGTCGCCGCTATCGATGAACTTAAAGCCCCTGGGAGACTCTTGGTCCCTCTCACCCACCCACACAAGTTTCCACTCCTTCACCTGTCCTCACCTCGGGCCGCCTGGCCAAAGCACAGAAACTGGGTGAACAGAACGTTTCTCTTTGCATTGGAATTAGCCCTGTCCTAGGCCTCGGGGGCTGATCATTAACTTGTCCCTGCTCTCTGATCCTGCAGCCACCCAGGGCTCCCTGCCTCCCCACACCCTGCAGTGCAGGGGAGAAGACTGGAGTCTTCTGCACAACCAGTACTGCATGTGACCTTGAGTCCCTTCCCCTTCCTGGATCTCAGAATTTTCATCTTCACAGTGAGGGACTTAGCGTTCAAACATTTATTATATTTAATTTTTTAAAATTTTGGTACTGGAGACAGAAGCCAGGGCCTCTTGCACATGCCAGGCAGGCACCATGTCACTGAGCTGCGGCCCCAGCCACGGTTGGTCATTTTGACAAAAATCTCCCGTGAGGGGCAGAGTAATGAGAGGAAGGGCTGTGTCTCCGAATCAAACTTAAAACCTCAGAGCCACGGCTTTGCCCACTGGGTGACATGGGAGAGGCTTGTTCACTTTCACTCTATTTCTTCCTCAACTTCCATTCCTCAAACTGAGGTCGAAGTAAGCTTCCCCTACTCAGACATAAGGCCCTTACAAGAGCCTTGCACAAAATAAGTGTTCAATAAACATCTGCTTTTGTTCCTTAGAAGCCCAGAATATGAAACAGAAAATATAGGCCAGCTAGAGTTGAAGCAGGGAGGGGCAGGGCCCTAACTGCTTGTTGCAAACCGAGGGAGGCTGTGACATGGTTCTCTTGGAGATTCAAGACCCGGGAGAACAGTTTGAAAACCATAAATGGGATAGTATAGCACAGGGGTTGGTGGGCCATAGTTTGTAGCTTGAATCCGGCTGTCACCTATTTGGTGTGCCCAGTCAACTAAGCATGTGTAAATGGGTGAGAAGAGCAATGAAAGAATAATATTCAGGGTTGTGAAAGCTGTGTTTTTATTTTGGCACCCATAAATAACACCCTATGGCCGCGTAACCATGCCCACTGGGACAGACCCTGTCCCTGTCTTCAAAGGCAGAGCTGAGTAGTTGCAACAGAGTGACCCACAAAGCCTAAAATGTTTACTGTCTGTTATTTACAGGGAACACCGGCCAACCCCTGCCACACAGCATCGTTTTCTTTGCATTTGGAAGACTTTGCCCTTGCGGGGACCCTGGCTCTGCTACTTCACCAAAAATGAGATTCTGGACATACCATCTCACTTCTCTGGATCTCAGCTGTTAAGCACCTGTATCATTTCTAACTTTCAGAGAGGGGGCAGGGATAAAATAAGCAGGACCCTTCGGTACATGATACTCATACACTGTCAGCAAGTGACATCCACTCGGAGGAGACACGGGCCATCGCTGAATTCCTAATGGATACATATATATTTTAACACATACAAGGTGTGATTGAACAATACAGTGAAGTTTAAAAATTTTTTAGATGTATTACAGTAAAAGACATATTCCTATTAATTTCCATAAAAAATCCCCCTCACTTCAGACACACGGATCCTATCACTCTCACCAGTTTCTGAAGCAGTTCTGGAAATCTTCTTTCATAAGTGTCTTTAGGGGGTGCTGCTATGGCTGCCTCGATGTCCTGAACTGATTCAAAGCATTTATCTTTCAGGGTCATTTTAACTTTGGGGGAGACACAGAAGTTGCATGGTGCCAGATCTGGGCAATAAGGTAGATGAGGAAACACTGTAATGTTTTTACTTGACAGAAATCATTGTAAATGTTTTGAATAAATTCAAGCCACTGAGGTAGCCACAAAGAAAAACCACTCTTGAAAGAAGGCTTCAGAAAGTGACAAGAACTCCAGGATGTGCTCAAAGGGAGGGGGATTGCGTTGAAGGGTAGCAGTAGCAATGTGTCATTACTGTGGTAAATTTTAAAATTTTACTGTATTTTTATCACAGCTCATATTTGAAAAGAGCATAACTAGCACACAAAATGGATGGTTTTGTGACTAATACTTGTTTAAAGCAAATGATGCAAATCCGCTGGGACTGATGTGCCATCTGTCTTGAGGAGCAGTTTGTACCTTCGGGTCCCCAGTGGCATCTATCACTCTCACTGCTATCTTCACATCCACACACAGAAAGCAAACAGCAGGAAGAGCAGAAGTAAAAATTACACGCCTCGTTTCCACGTAGGTCCCATCACCAAGTGTAGTCTCCCAATTTCAAGGGAGGCTGGGAAATTCTGCCTTTTCTCTATACAGCCACGTGCCCATGTGGGGGTTCTCTTACTAAAAGAATGAAAGAATTGATTCTGGGGATGAGCTAGAAGCTTCTGCCTATATATGCATGGGTTTAAAACTTCCCTTAAAAGTACATTAATATCAATCAAAAGTGAAACATTTTAGCTGGGCATGGTGATGCATGCCTGTAATCCCCACACTCGGGAGGCTGAGGCAGGAGGATCGCCCAAGTCTGAGGCCAGCCTGGGCTCCATAGTGAGGTCAAGGCCAGCCTGAATACATCACGAGACCCTGTCTCATGAGAGAAAGAAGAGAGAAAGACCAAAAGAATAACCGTTTTTAATAATAGCTGTTATTGTAAATCTGAATTGTTGCCGGACTTGCCTCTGTCTGGCTTCTTAATACCTGAAGAAAACCCATGTTTTTTAAGCTACTTGAAGACAGGCATTCTGTTACTTGCAGACCAAAGAATTCTCACTGCTACTGCTGGCTTCCTGGGTAACAGATGAGCTCTGGAATCACCTAACGTGGTTTCAGAGTCAGGCTTAGCCCCGTGCCTGCTGTCTGACCCAGGAAAGTTAGTCACCTCCCCTCTCTGTCATCTAAAAACACAGTGGCTACTTGTGTTTAGTTTCGCTAAGAGCTCAATTTCAGGGGGTCAAGAAACTGAAACCTTCAGGTCACGGCACATTATCACTACTCCTCCCAGCCCCATTCTCCCTGCCACCCTCAGATGTGTTTCAGATGTGTTTAATGTGTAGCTTTTCGTCTTGAGGATGTGCGTGTCCTTGCAAAGCATGTTGCCGTTTGTGTGTGAATGCAGAAGGTTCTATATTGGTATTGCGCTCTAGATCTCATTCTGGTTTCTCCCCAGCCATAGCCATTTTGTAAGAAGCATTTACGTAACTGTCTGGCTTGCTAATTCTTGTCTCTTAAGAGCTCATGGTGCTCAACGTGTGCTTCTCCATTGCCCTTTCCTAGGAACGGTGTCCACAAGACTGCCGAGTCTCAACCCGTAGAAAATGTGAATGTCACCGCTCGTCTCTCCTCTTGGGTTTTTTTGGTCTTTTTTTTTTTTTTTTGAGAATTCCTCAAGCATTTTCATCCAGGAGCAAAGCTGCTAGTTCACAGGGCATGAGCACACTTCACTGTATTGAATTCTTGCGGGTGCCCTTAAGAAAGCCTGACCTAGACCGCAGTCTTTCTAGCAATTCACAAGAGCTCCCATGGCCCCTGTTGCTGCTGACACTGGGCATTAGCCAGTGTTACGGTTTAAACATGAAGCATCCCCCGGAGCCTCAGGTACTGAGGGCTTGCTCCAGCGCAGCAGTGTTCTCCAGCGGGGCTTAGAGAGCTGACTGGACCACGAGGGTCCTGAACTCTTCAATGGATGAGTTCATAGCTGAGTGGGCTCAGAGGAGGTGGCACTCAGAGGAGGGAAGTAGGCCGCTGGGGGTGGCCTGTGGGGAGTGTACCCCATCCAGCCTTTTCTCTGGCTTTTCTATCTTCTCTCTCTCTCCTTCTTGGCTGCCATGAGGTGAGACGCTTTCTTCCTCCATGCCCTCCTGCTGTGATGTTCCTACCTTGGAGCCAAGCAACCATGGACTGAAACCCCTGACGCCGTAAGCCAACACAAACCCTTCCTCCTTTAGCATGAGTATGTCAGATATTTCAGTCACAGCAATAGAAAGCTCACCAATATCTCCAACTGCCTTCACTTTGCTATCTCACTCATCTAAATCTCATTGTTTCATTTGACATTTCTTTGGGTATTAGTGATACTGAGCATCTGTTCAAATGCTTTCAAACAAATTTCAATTATAGGACCTATTCCAAAGGGTCATTTTGGGAGTTAAAAGAATAAACATATGTGAAATGCTTAACTTGTTGCTTAGTACATAGTAAAACGCCCAATACACCCAAAATTTGAAAACCAAGGTATCATGGTTTAAAATCTAATCTTGTTATTATTATTTTTTTAAAAATACTTGACACATGCTAGGTGCCTGATAGGTGTTTCCTTCCCTTATCCTTGCCTAGCATCCCTGCTCTCACCCCTCCACTCTGGTGGAGTGGACCCCAGGACCTTTGCACAGCCTCACCTCTGTTCTCTTCACTCTCCCTGCTAAGGTCCTTCCGAGGCTCCTTCTGGCCGAAGAGGCTCTTCAGAATGGCACTGGCAATGGGCAGCATCATGGCGGTGGAGGCAGTGTTGCTCAGCCACATGGACAAGAATGAGGTGGTCACCATCATCCCCAGGATAAGCCTGCACAACAGAGGCAGATAGAGATGAATCCCGATCCCTGGGTCCAGCAGGTCCTCTGGCCCCCATTTCCCATCCCTGAGGAATCCAACCTGTCCATTTTAGATGGAAAATTGAGGCCCACAGAAGGCAAGTTAGTGGAAAAGCAGGAATCAGTAATCTGAGCTGCTTTGGCTCTGAGGAATGCTCGGCTCAGCGTGCTTAGTGGACTGACCACAGGTACCCACGTCAGATCATGCTAAAGCCGATCCGAACCTGACAGTCTCTCCCTTGTCCCCAAGCCCCGAGGGCACTGGTCTCAGGATAACAGCTGAGGCACGGGGCTCCTGCCCTCTCACCCTTGCCTGTCTCAGCCTCCTTCCCATCTCCTCTCATTCCCTGCTCACACCCTGGACTTCTCACCAGCACCCAGCACGGCCAAGCTTGAGCGATAGCTATTGCTCTGAGAATAAAAGTTCAAATCCTGGCCAGGGAGCCTGAGGGCTTGCAGCACTGAGTTCGGGCTCCCCGCTCGCCGCGGCCATCTTCACACCCCCTCTGCATCTCCCGGACGCCCCCAGCCCCCCCCTGCACAGGTGAAGAGCACACAGGGAAGACAGCTGTGGCCGGGCACCTCTTGCTGCTCGAGGCTGAGCGAGCTACCTGCAGCCAGCCTGCCACCCTCACACTGACTTGATGAAGCCGGTGCTGGGACATTGCTGTGTCACAGGCCGGAGTCATTTTTACAGCCCAAGCAGCCTGCTCACCCTGCCCTAAGACTACTACAGCGGGCCTCCCAGGCCTGTTCTCAGGGAAGCCGTGGACACAGGAGTGCCCAAGGCTTGGACCTTGAGCCAGTGGCATCACCTTTCTGGGCCTCGTGGGCTGGGGTCAGCATCTTGACCCCCTCTCCGGGTTGTCCTTACGCACCGCGAGGACAGCCGCGCACAGGTGGCCCAGCTCCACGCCTGGCCCACACCTGGGGTTCCCTCGATAGCTGAGAATGAGCAGGTCCATGACGGTGGCAATGACGAGCCTCTTGGCCCTGACGACTGAACCTGCAAGCCAAGAAGGGTGGTCCCTCTGCCTCCCCCCAAGGGCGGGCTGCGACCCTGCTCACCTGGCCGGCTGGACCCCAACGAGCATCAGGACCTTGAGGGCGATCCTGCGGTGCAGGTTCCACTCCTCAATGGCACAGGCCATGATCAGACCGCTGAGGAAGAGGAAGTTGGTGTCGAGGAAGTACTGGGGGCAGACTTTGTGGGAGGGCAGGATGCCCGTGAAAGGGAAGAGGACGGTGGGCAGCAGCGCTGTCACGGACAGGGGCAGGGCCTCTGTGCACCAGTACACAGCCATGAGCAGGATGATGAACAGGCAGCGCCCTTCCTGCGGGAGACACAGACCAGGGCTCAGCGGGGGGCAGGGGGCGGGGGGGGGCGGCCTCCCAGCCCCTTCACAAGGAAGCAGCGGGTGGGGCAGTACCCAAGGCTTTGGCCTCTGAGCTTCTTTTGGCTCAGCTGTAAAATGAGGAAGCTATTTCTGTCCGTCCAGAGGACCACTGGAGGCTTACATGAAAGACCCCCACTGTCTCAGAAATCAATCATGAGGTGAGGATGGAAACAAAAACAATTTACTTGATGGGAGGCAGAAAGTCTGGAAGGGCAGTGGGGAGGTGAGACAGAGAAGAAAGCAAATACGACATGTGCTCAGGAGGAGGTCACCACTGTGGGCGGCCGGAGCAGCACCCTGATGGGGACTCTGGGAGAGCACACCTCCGAGGTCTGGGCGGTGAGACACTCGGCTTGGTCTGCCATCACTGGGCACCTTGGGCCTTCACGTGTGCAAGCTGAGCTCACTCTTCAGCCAGGGAAGCCCCCCAAGATGCAGCAAGAAGCCTCTGGAATGCGCAGGATGGTGAGCCCCCATGGGGGCATGGAGGTGACCCCAAAAGCAGTCACCACATCCATACAGGGTGCTGGGCACAAGAGCTGACACACTGTGTGCTCTGCAAATAGGAACAGTAACTGACATTCACTGGGCAACTGACTACCACACCCGTCTATGTGCCTACTGTACCACCTGGCAGACCAGCAGGGGCCCCAGTCTGGAGAATGAGTCCCCCAGGGGGCTTGTAAGCTCTGATGCCCGCAGGAGCCCGGATGTACCATCAAGGAACTTCTGGGTGCCCTTAGGCAATTTCGTATCTTCGCACTTTGAAAAGGGCATGAGTATGAGGCATTTATTTCCTCTTCAGTTTGGTCTATTACAAGACACCTGGACTTCTAGGCGACAGTGGATGCTGCTACTTGGCATTCAGGCTCCGAGGCTGGCCGCCTCTGTTTCCCTCGCTCAAGGAGACAGATACGTAGGCTAATCATTTATCCTCAGGGAGACAGAGTCTGAAACAGAGTGTGGTACTGTGAGCTGTGGGAGCAGAGGAGGATGGGAACTGAGCCGGCCCGTGGAATCTGGAGAGCGCTGATGTGCCCGTAACGCCTGCTTATGGTCTGAATATGTCTCCGCTTCCAGGTTGAAAGCTAATCCCCTTGGTGATGGTAAGAAAAGTTGGGCCTTTGGGAGATGTCTAGGTCCTAAAGAGCTCGGCCCCCTCAAATGGGATTAGTGCCCTTGTAAAAGAGCCCTGAGGGCCTTCCTTCCACCACGCGACCTAGCACATGGCAACACAGCAACAAGGCGCCATCTTTGAAACAGAGAGCAAGCCCTCCCTGGGCACTGAATGTGCGAGGGCCTTGATCTTAAATATGGATTGGGCTGTTAAATACAGTGCTCGAGGCTCAGAGCCTTCAGAACTGTGAGCTATAATCTCTTTCTTAATATATTATCCAGTCTAAGGCTTCTCGTCACAGCAGCTCAAATGGACCAGACACTCCTTTGGCTCCCACCAGTCTTGGTTGCACCAGTGACTTTTCCAGCTTCCTCCGGCTTTAGATGCATGTGTGGCTGACATATCCAGGGAAACACCGTTCCTAGGAACACCTTCCAGCCCAGAAGTTGGGCTGCCCTTCATGCGGGGCAACCGAGCCATGTTAAACAGCATCCCCCAGAGGTACCCAGTATGGTTAAGACCACAGTGTCAGAGAAGTAACCTCTTTGTTCACACATTTGTGCTACCTCCTTTCTCCCCCATCCCCGCAAAATTCTTCACAATCAAAGCCTTGTCTCAGGTCCTTCTGGAGAACCAAAGACAGATGCGTTCTTGAAGATGGTGACATCTTTCTAAACTAGGACTTGAGGTCGACTTGCTGCAGGGAAGGAAAGGGTGGCCTTCTTGCCTGTACTGGAAGTTTCTTTTGTACTTGAGTCAAATTCCTCAGCGGGATTTGGGGCTTATCTGAACCAAACCCAGCTAACAAGGGCTAGCTTTGTTTATGGAACAGCCACATATTACTTACAAATGAATCAGCCAGATGGAAGTAGGTATTTCTTGAGTGGACTATTAGTGTGCTGCTAGCATAAAAAGAGCTGTTACTCCATACTCAGAGAAGCACATGGGGACACCCTACATGGATAGAACCACTGGCAAGTGTGTGAGCTGCTTGGAGCCCGGCAGGTGGCTATAAGTAATATCTATATTGGACATTTTGTTTGGTCATCTAACGCCACATGAGGTTTTCCTGAGGAAATTCTATTTATTTTATTTTTATTTTTTATTTTAAAGGTAATAAGAAAACAATAAAATGATACAAAATTTCAAAACAAGATGATAGGAGATTAACAATGGTTATTACATTGCATATTGTTATCTTCAGATTAGTTGCTCAGATTACCAGATATTGTCACATAAGATTGATCAAACAATATAAACACTAACTGTTCCTTTCAGTGAATTCATAGAAATTAGTAGTGCAATTATCTTAGTTATTTATACCTTCATTTCTGCTTTCCCCCATACCAGTTGTTCTTTCCTTTTGAGCAGTATCTTTCCTTTTCACAGTATCTACTGTACCTTTTGTATCTTATTTACTCTTTCAGTTTCTTACACTAGGGAGATAATACAATGTTTACACATGTGAGTCTGATTTATTTCACTTATGGATATGGTCTCTAGTTGCATCCATTTACCTAAAAGCCTCAAGTTTATCTACCTTTATAGCTGAGTAATACTCCATTGTATAAAAATACCACATCTTTTTTATCCATTCCTTGGTTGATGGGCATTTGAGTTGTTTCCAAGACTTAGCCATTACAAATTGTGCCTCCATAAACATGGGTGCACAAGTGTCGCTGTGGTATGATATTTTTAATATTTTTCTGGGAAGATTTTTTCTGGGAAGATACCCAGAAGGAGAATAGCTGGGTCAAATGGGATCTCTAGTCCTAGTTTTTTGAGGAATCTTTCCACTGATTTTCACAGTGGTTGTACCAGTTTACACTCCCACCAATAGTGGAAAAGAGTTCCTTTTTTCCCACAGCTCCACCAGCACTTGTTATTGGTTGATTTTTTTTATGATAGCCATTCTTTCTGGGGTGAGAAGGAATCTCAGTGTTGTTTTAATTTGCATTTCTTGGATGACCAATGATGTTGAACATGTTTCATATATTTATTTGCCATTTGTATTTCTTCATCTGAGAAGTGTGTATTCATCTCAGATGCCCATTTTTTAATTGGGTCTTTGAATTTTAGGGATCTGATTTTTTAAAATTCTTTATATGTTCTAGATAGAAGTCCTTTGTCTGAGGGAAAGTTGGCTAAATTTTTTTTCCCAGTTTGTGGGGTTTTTCTTTCACTGTGTTGGTGATTTCTTTTGATGTGCAAAAACTTTTTAATGGATGAGATCCTAGTTGTTGATTCTTTGAAGTAGTTCCTGTACAGTTTGGTTTTTATTCAAGAACTCTCTGCCTACCCCAATGTCTTCAAGACTTCTACCTACTTTCTCTTCCAGTAGATTTAGTATTTCCAGTTTAATATTTAGACCTTTGATCCATTTTGACTTTAGTGCATAGTGATACAGGTGGGTCTAGTTTTAGTCTTCAGCATGTAGAAAGCCAGTTTTTCCAGAACCATATATTAAAGATGCTATCTTTCTTCCAGAGGAAGAGTTTGGCCCTTTTATCGAAGATAAGGTGGCTGAGTGTGTTTGTAGTTGTGTCTGCTTTTTCTAATCTTTTCCATTGGTCCTCAGGTCTGTCTTTTTGCCAGTACCACGCTGTTGTTGTTGTTTTTTTTTTAATCACAGTAGCTTTGTAGTATAATTTCAAGTCAGGGACTGTGGTGCCTCCTGCTTTGCCTTTGTTGCCCAGGATGGCCTCTGCTAGTCTAGATTGCTTCTGGATCCAGATGGATTTTAGGAATGTTTTCTCTAGTTCTGTGAGGTATGCTAATGGTACTTTGATCAGGGATTGCATTAAATCTGTATAACAGTTTTAGGAGTAGGGCCATTTTCTCAGTGCTTGTTCTTCCTATCCATGAGCAAAGAATATTTTTCCACTTTCTGAAATCCTCTTTGATCCCTTTTTTTCAGAGTGCTGTAATTTTCAATGTATAGATCTTTTACTTCCTTTGTTAGATTGATTCCTAAGTATTTCATTTTTTTGGATGCTATTGTGAAGGGTGTGGTTTCCCTAATTTCTCTCTCAGTAAGTTTGTTGTTTGTGTACAGGAATGCTATTGATTTTTGAGTGCTGACTTTGTATCCAGCTACGCTACTGAATTTGGTTATTATATCTAGAAGTCTTTTGGTGGAGTTTTTGGAGTCTTCTGTGTAGAGTATCATGTCATCTGTGAATAATAATAATTTCACTTCTTCCTGCCCTATCCTTATTCCTTTTATTTCTCTCTCTTGTCTAATTGTTCTGGCTGACATTTCCAGAACTATATTGAATAGGAGTGGTGACAGTGGACATCCGTGTTTTGTTCCTGATTTTAGAGTGAAAGCTTTCAGTTTTTGTCCATTTAGTATGATGTTGGCTGTTTGGTTTGTCACAGATGCTTTTTATCAGACTGAGGTAAAGACCATCTATTCTGATTTTCTTTAGGGTTTTTAGCATGAATGAATGTTGGACTTTATCAAAAGCTTTTTCTGCATCTATTGAGATGATCATGTGATTTTTGTCTTTGGCTCTGTTGATATGATATTTTACATTAATTGATTTGCATATGTTAACCATCCCTGCATTCCTGGGATGAATCTCACTTGTTCATGGTATATAATCTTCTTGATGATTTGTTGCATTCTGTCTGCTAGTACTTTATTGAGGGTTTTTGCATTTATGTTCTTTAGATAGATTGGCCTGTAGTTTTCTTTTTTGGCTGGGTCTTTCTCTGGTTTTGGTATTAAGGTAATACTTGCCTCCAGGAATTAGTTCCTTCCCTTTCAATTTCATTAAAGAGTCTGAGGAATATTTGTATTAAATCTTCTCTAAAT